CACGATACTTGTATCTAGTTTTCGCTACCACCACAATCAGTTTATTGTGTATCGCATCTCAATATAATTAGTAACGACCCTCCCTTGAAACGTCAACTAAACAATACGATACTAATAACCAAACGATTAAATGTATCGAATAACCTACGTCGCAGATTACTAACCTTGAACTGTTGAATTTGTATTTATAATACAAATTCTTCAAATGTGTAGGTCACGATCAAATAAAAGTACATTTATGTTATAAAATTTATTTCAATACAATAGTAAGAAAAATAATAACTGTCAATTCGGAATACATCGGTATAATATATCTAAAATAAAATTCATATCCAACTATATATAGGCACCTAATTATCGTAATTAATTAAAAAGTAAAGAATTGATACCTAAAAATAACTTTAAAAAATAATCCATTTCATACAAAAAAGTCCCCGTTTAGGGCAGATCTTAAAAATTACCAGATGGTTTGTGAAATGGTGTTCAGGCTATAAAAATAAGTTTTATAAGTAAAAGAATGATTATTGTATGAAAAGCTACATACTATGTATGTTGAATAAAAAAAAATTACATCGCCTTATGCCAGTTAAAACAATACAATTTAATTAATTATAAAACAAATGATATGATGCATTCTTGTGGCGGTCACTAATGTGCAACACGCATATTTTATTACTGACGTAAAATGAATATTGTTGCTTTAAATGTTTAAAAAATAACAAATTTATATTTACTTCACATTTTAATTCAAAACGTTTAATAAAAAATTTTGCCGATTTTTATGAATTAACAAAAAAGTTGTTGACCAAAACCGAGATTCGAACCCACGATCGATCCGTAAACAGTACTTTGAACCATGAAGCTATTGGCGTTTTAATTTCGGTACATAGTCTATCGTATTATAAAAGTTCAAAGTATTAGGTTTCTTTTATTTAAAAACATTTAAAATAACAATACTTCATCCTCAATACTAATAAGTAAAACTAAAATTAACAGTAAACATGAGTACATAATAAAGAAATAACCAAAGCGCATTACAACAGAAACAAATGTTAGTAAGATCTGAAAGCTAAAACTTTGTTTTAGTAAGTTAAAGTTTAGATTGTAAATATTATTGTGCGATTAATTCTCAACAATATATAACGCCGACCATAAACTTAACTATATACATTTACCAGTGCCGGATAAAGCCAAGCAAGGCCTGTAGCAAATTCTGTCAAGGGACCCTTGGTTTGCTTTATTTTCTCAATTTTAGGGAATTAAAGAAAACAAATTTAAAATTAATCTTGATAAGAACATTAACGTTAAAAAATACCTACTTATTTTTACGCTTTAAAGTGACCAAATCGAGTTTTTCATTTTTGCATACAAGATATTTTACGCTCCAATCTAAATTAATATTTTGAATTACTGTTAGACAGGCGTTAGAGCGCGGGGTCCTCAAATAAGAGGGCCTGTAGCATTTACTAATCTTGTTATATGGCTAATCCGGCAGACATAGATATATACAATGAAAATTATAATGTACTAATTAATTTTACAAACACCATTGTGATTATATACAATGTAAATGAATATATCTAAATAGTATTGACAACTTGATCGAAACATTTAGCAACAAACTGTTCTTTTTCGTCCAGCTTTTTGACATCACTATTCTCGTGTCGAGTTAGCATCGCGTCTTGTAGTGCGTTCAGTGCTTCCGAAGTGAACCTCTTGCCTTTCAAGTGTGTTATCACCGAAGCCTCTCCATGGAAACCAGACTCAATGAGTCCCGGAGGGATAGATAGAGTGACGTCATCGATCAACCCTTTCTCCACCGTCATATTGATGACCAACTCCTGCGTGGCTGTGTACACCTTCGAGGGGGCGAGGAGTTCCGCTGGTACTGGGAATGTGCGACTCACGGTGAAAACTGGCGTACGACCAAAACACCAGTCCCAACTTTGCAGTTCTTGCTTCAGTTCAGCAAGACCTATTATAATAAAATTAAATTACCGATTTTGTATGTTTTTGTAATTACCTATAATATTAAAAACTTTATAATATGATGATTAGATAACGGGAAAATTCTAGAAAAATAACAGTGCAAGATTAAAATTTACAAGTCGAAAATAAAAGCCATAAACAAACAAAACACTGTTACAAATCATACTAATATTATAAATGCGAAAGTTTAGATGGATGGATGTTTGTTAGAGTTTGTAGCCTAAACAGCTGAACGGATTTCGATGAAATTTGGTATTGATGTAGAGGATAGTCTGGAAGACCACATAGACTACTTACATTAGTTTTTTTAACGCGGACGGAGTCGCGAGCGAAAGCTAGTTGAAAATATTTACCTGGGAACCAATTATCGGTGGGATTCACAAACTGGAAGCCTCTCTGCTTCGTGATCAAGCCTTGTCCACCATCTTCGATGTGGAGAGCTGGTGTGCGAAGGTACTCGTAGCCTACAGCAGTCTGCAGACTGTCCACGGTCACCTTGTGGTCGATGTCCGCCAGGTTGGCCACCGCGGAGCGCGTTGACTCCGTCGCCTTTGTCTGTATGCCATGCTAAATAGAATTATGTGTCCTTAACAATATGTTTGTGATCGGAAGGAAAAGGTTTTGGGTTAATATTAGTCAAGCAGATTGTTAGTGAAGGCGAAACATCAATTACTGAGAACAAAACACACTAAACAAAAGAAACAAAGCTAAGTAATAATATCCAATACAGAAAATAACATTAGAGACCATTTTAAAATAAGATATCTTGTCACGTGTATGAAACACGTGAGTTAGATAACCCAGTCTAAGTTGTGTGAAAATCATTAAAGAAGGCATTGTTCATACATCAATTTAAGTTAACATACATTCAAACATTTAAATATGTATGGAAATGTATGGTACAGGATAAAGAAAGTTGGGAAAATAAAAGTGTTATTACAACCTTAAATTATTACAACCATTACCAAATAAAAAACAAATAAATTGTAATTATTAGTTAAAATATATCAAAAGTCAAAAATATTTTACGTTGTTAAGATTCAAGTATGCTTACCTCTCTTTTTGCCAGAGATTTGCTGAGATCTGCCTTGTTTGCGTTGACTAGAAGTGTACAATGATGATATGCTGTTAATCGACCCAATTTTGCAGCTGTTCCAGATATCTATACATATTTATTAAGGAAATAAACAAAATTTGAAGGCATTAAGCTATGAACATGTTTTTTAAATAACAAGTAAACAACATACTATAAAGTATATATAAATTAAATGTTGATTTCTAACACAAGAGCAAGAAGGTCACTAGTCATTTTTTTTAATATTATTATTAAAAGTAATTTTTTTCTAAGAAATTATTATATTATGGGTTTTAACTAATTTTTGTGTGTATTTAAAAAGGATACTTTATAATTATCTCGAACAACAATGTCATCACGCTTATTAATAACAGATTTGATTCCAAATCCTCTGAATAATGCTCTCTTGATGAGTTCCAAGTTGTACTTCCTATCATATCTCTCCCGAGGTGTGAAGAAGGTAATGTTGAGATTTCCACGGTCATGATATACAGTACCTCCTCCACTGTTGCGACGAGCAAGGGGTATATCTTTCTCAGTCAAATGAGCAATATTAGCTTCAAGCCATGGATTCTGGTGACGACCGATAACAACAGTAGGCTCATTTCTCCACACCATCATAACATGATGGTTGGTAAAGTCCATGTTACGGTACATCCAGTCTTCAAGAGCCAAATTGGTGTAAATATCAGTGGACTGAGACATAAAAACTGACTTTGTGATCTCTCCCTCTGCTGGGAGTACTCTCTCCTTCTTTTTCAAAGGTACATTGTTGCTGCTTGTAACAAGGCAGCGTGAGCTGCTTCGTCTAGTTACTCCCACAACAAAGCAAGCTCCACTTGTTACAATTTTTCTCATCATTATTTGGGCCATGATTACTTATATTACACAAACGGGCACTTTTCTGTATGAACCTTGGAAAGGCAGTGTTTAAGCGTAAGTTTCTTAACCTTTATAATATACTATAGTAAAACTATTAAAAATACAGTCCAATTATCTAATGCATATGGCAACAAGCATCAGTGTCAGCCGATGAGAGTGAGATCAAATATTCGTGAAGGGCAATGGTTTGGTGCAGCCACTTCCAGGTTTGGTGCAGGGTGTTAATTCGATAACGAATACCCAAACAGTCGCGACAGTCACTTGGCATTCCTCCTCTTGGATGCAGGATTAACACAAAAATTACCACACAACTGAATTAAACAAAACGGATACTTTGAAACGACGATACAAGCGTCCGCAAGATTAAATTATTTAGACAATGAAACTAAGCGACATTCAGAACCGAGCACGAACGCGTTACGATGTCTGATGAGTTAAATTACCTTCTGTCGTCTCATTTTATGCACACTGATAATGATAAGCGGGCCGAGGAACTGAGAGGTCGGGCGAGGGCATTCGAAGTTCACTCGAAGACAAGCAAACAAACAGCTATAACAGATAAGCACGATTCAGCCACGCGCACAATTTTATCAGTACTCTATATAGTTATAAGATAAATTCCACAACTACTTGAAACAAAGTATTAAACTCGATTTGCTAATTTATTCAAAGTTTTATAACATGTTTTGTGAATAAATTATATTATTCTTTGACATTTGACAACTCGAAGTTGGAAAAGTACTAGTGACGTTTTACTGTTCGACTAAAATTCCTATTCTATTAAAATAAAAACAAAAATGATGATAATAGCGACTTAAACTAAAACGACTTCTACAAAAGTGCAACAATAACAGCATTTATAAGCTTACGCTTTTTAGTTTCCGAATTTTACTATGTTTAGCCGAGTTTCATTTGACTATAACATAGTAATTATTATAGGACAGAAGACAAAACACTCGTGTCCTCGTGAAAATTTTTTAAGTCCACTAATCGAATCTGTTTTACATGTAAAATGTAATCGTATAACGGAACGTAACCATCATTATGACATTTGAAATTAAAGTCACATTGACATATGACCGTAATCTTTTTGATATTTGTCGTTCCAATAACATTTTACGTGATATATCATTGAGTAAAATACATTTATTGTACAAAAATGGCCTTTAGAACGACAGCAGTTGCTCGCAGTAAGTATAAAATCACATTATGTACAAATATAGATTAAGTAAAACGCTAGTAACATAGGCTTTGTTACGTTATGTAACTCGTTTTAAATTATATATTTTCAGGTGCCTTAAAGAAATGGGCTTATAACCTATCTGGCTTCAACAAGTATGGTAAGTTGAATTCGTTGTGTAATACAGCTTTTACCTTATAAATAATCTAATGACATGTCAAATTGTTAAAGGGCTTCTGCGTGACGACTGTCTTTATGAAAATGAGGATGTACAAGAAGCATTGCGTCGTTTGCCTGAACATGTAGTCGACGAACGTAATTTCCGTATTGTTAGAGCAGTTCAGCTCTCAATTCAAAAGACTGTGCTGCCGAAGGAAGAGTGGACAAAGTATGAGGAAGATAAGCTCTACCTAACACCCATCGTAGATCAAGTTATAAAAGAAAGGCAGGAACGTGAACAGTGGGAAAAGAATTACTAAATTACTTGAACCTCTGGAAATAGTGAATTTTGTTAGCCTTAATGGATCCTATTTATTGTTTAAAAGCTCTTTGTAATCATCTTATAAAACATGTAAAAATAGCTTATTATGTGCTAATTAAAGTTGATTACACCAAAACAATTTAACATCTAATTTGTGTTTGCTTTTGTAAATGGACATGCAAATTGTGTATTTCGCAAAATAAAGTAAAATATTACATAAATAAATCCAAATTATTTATTTGTGGTTTGTTGTCCTTTTATTATACTAAATTGCAATTTTGTCTTAGAAAAAAGGAATCATATTAAATCAATAGTTGCTATGTCTATGTTGAGATGTCTGCTAGTACCTAATACTACAACAGGGATGTTGGATATAACATTCAATGATAAACAAGTTTTTTTCTACAATTTATTTGTAAATTGGCACATGAATTATAAATTTTGTTTACATTGAATACTGTATCAATAAATTGGTATATTCAATAGCTAAAGTTAAGGAAGTCTACAGTTATTTTCTTATATTCCATGTTAAATGGAACTTGCTACAATAGTCTATAAACAATGGAATAAAAGGGCGTTCAAAAAGAATAAAATATGGTCCCTACAGAAACATGGAATCACACAAAATACAAAACAAAATCAAATGCATATGGAATAACAACAAAAAATGGTGTAATCTATACAAACATAATTATAAAGGCATAAAAAAGTATCATTTTTTTATTAAATGTATAATTTAAATCTCTGACAATAAATCACAATATTTACTACTCACTTTGATAGTTAATATTACAGATACAAAATCGATATTGTATCTATATATATAATAAAAATGGAGTGTCTATTTGTAACATCAGACTTCAGGAAAATAATGTATTTGCATGATAACGAAAATCTCATTTAGATTTTTTTTTTCTGTCTTTCCGCAAGCCGCATTTGTTTTGGGTAAACCCCGAAATGGCTGGGCCGGTTTCGACCAGACTTTCACTGGAGGGTAGCTGGACATAGACAAGTATATTATAGGCACCTTTTTATTGAAGTCGCGGACAACAGTTAGTTTGTAATATTTTTAGTTATAAAATCCTCAACAAATTCCAGAAAAATATGGAAGTAATAACTTATGCACATACATTTACATAATATAAAAGGCAATTCAATGGCCCACAGATCATGATATTCATATTCTTGGTTAAGCCATTTTTTTATTATTAAAGAACATATATAATGTATGGGTACATTTCTGAATACTGACTTCGGAATAACGAGACATCAAATTATATTACATACCAATGTTGTACAAAATGATTATAGGTTACACATCTGTCGTCTATTAGTATAGACTGTATATCAGGTGACATGATCAAGAAGGGAGAGATGACGGATGGTAGAGTTATTCGGAGGAGGAAAACCCGGTGCGCCGACACTACAGGAGTATGATAAGGCAGGGGAGATGATATATATAATATCTAAACATAACTTCCAATTTACATTTGTAATTGGAATAGATAATTATATTATATTATATACAATTTATTTAAATACTAAAAATCAATCTGGTATAATCATGGTAGCTTATATTAATTTAAACAATACATGTAGAACGGAAACAGGTAAACCGATTTTTTTTATAAATGACAAAATTATATCTTGAAATTTTCATATATTAGGTTAGATGTTAAAAAATGGCACTATTATCTATGCCTAGATATTCGAGTTTCGTTAGTATTACAAATACTTTATGTAACAAAAATTTTATGCAATATTTAAAATATGCGCTTTATTTCTCCAAGTATATTACATGAGTATTAATATTGAGTGGAAATAGAGTAAAAAAAAATGCTTAAACTAGATTTACAATACTTATGTAATAAATGTAAATATAGACAAAACCTGTTGATAAAATTCGATTACATTTTAGTTTAAGACATATGACGTCATACATCTTATTACAAACATCACTAACAAATATTTATTCTATCCTAATTATTCTAACCTAAATAATGATATCAATTAGGCCTAAAGATATGTTTTACATATGAAAAATTGTAAAAAAACCTGGACAACGCCACAATGGATGGTATTAATTGGTATTATTGATTTCATATAACGTAAATAAAATCTTTATCGTATACAAAAATAACAATTTTTAGAATTTAGGAATAACTTGGCAAGGATGGCAGCCAATTTTAGAATTCATAGCCACAAAGGAATTAATCGAAATATCTACATAAAATAGTTTTTCAACTGTACAGTGGATTTTTTTTTATTTTTACATATATCATTGGCAACTTTGATAAAAACCGAAGTTATTTACAATTCCTCATCTCCTATCGCTTCAAAGGCGTTGTTTTCAACACAATCTTTACCCGTCTTGAAGGAGACGGACGCGAATTTTTCTGTTAATTTCTGAACGGAAAATATTTCCCGCGAACTGCCGGATGTCATTGAATCTCCATTCTGTAATTTATATAAACATTTAATTGTTCTTTTGTCTTAAATAAGAAAAACAATGACTGTGCGAAATTGAAGATTTTATGAAACTTTATTGAAAGAATGGTTAAACATCAAAGCGGCTCACTTTATGTTGAGTGAATATAATAATTTATTTAAATCGTATAATACATTTTATAACCAGATAAAGCAATAGACATTTTATAATATGTCTATCATACTAATATTATTAATGCTGAAATTTGAAAATAGATGGACGGATGTTTGTTACTACTGATAACCAAAATATTCTAACGGATCTCGATAAATTTCGCACCAACATAGAGCACAGGCTAGTTACAGATAGGCTGATAACTTTTATTTACCGCTCGGATGAAGTCGTGGGCAGAAATTAGCAATAGAATGAAAAAAAAGGAAATTGTGTTATTAAATTAGTTTTAATTGGTAGTGAATATACATACGAGCGAGCTGAGCGTGTCGCTGGAGGAGGAGGGGGTGACGAGGTGGCTGGAGCCGTCGCGGCGCAGGTAGGTGAGGCCGCCGCGCTTGCACCGCGGAGACGACGGGCCGCACCCGCTCTTCTGACGCATCAGCTCGTCCACTATCGACTGGACACACATTTAAATTACAACTAAATACTCTAAGATAAAAATGCTACTTTATAAGATACTATCTTTCGCACGCGACTCCGTCCGCGCGGAATAAAAAACAAAAGCAAGTAGCCTATGTGTTCTTCCAGACTATCCTCTATACTATGCCAAATTTCATCAAGATCCCTTCAGCCGTTTAGGATACAAACTCTAGCAAATATTCATCCATCTAAACTTTCGCATTTATAATATTAGTAAGAAGTAAGATGATGAAACCATTTAGTTAAAAACTTGAATAATTCCCGAGATTTATTTCTAAATTTTCCATTTCTTTCAATCGAAATACTCAAACTCTCGCACACAAATTGATCACAACATTTTTTTTCAGTAAATATGATTACTGCACTTCATGTTGCTTTGAAAACGTCTTTCTTATCATTTATAGGATTATGAAGCCATGAAAACAAATAACAAATTATGTTGGCTTATTCTGAACAACCATATGTAAATAAAACTGATAGCTACACTTTCTACTAAACTGTTATACAATGACTAAATAATCGATAAGTACGCTGTAATTATACCCAGAAATTTTATATCAGGAGAACTGACACATTTATATATGTAACAGCGTTTTATAAAGTCATACTTAAACTGCGTATATACATGTTTTTTTATTATAAAAATATTAGTAGGTTTTTGTTAATCTAAACTAATATTATAAAGAGGAAAACTTTGTATTTTTGTATGTATTGAAATAACTCAAAAACTACTGGGCTGATTTTAAAAATTCTTTCACCGTTAGTAAGGTAATTTATCTGTGAGTAACATAGGCTGATTTTTAATTTAAAGCGGGCGAAGTCGCGACCAACAGCTAGTTTACTAATATTTTCTTTAACCATTTCAACTAAGCTCTAGGCTTGTGCTAGGTATAGCTCACAAGTCGAATGGCGGGATTCGAACCCCTTGACCTCAAGATCGATAGTCCGTACCCCAAACCATTAGGCTATTGGCGCTTAATAAAATATTACATTAACATTTTGACATATTTTACATTAATATAAAAACGCCCATATTAATTTTTAATAATACATTTCTTTAATGGCAAATTAAAATGATTTAATTAAATTAATTACCAACATATTTTGCTCGTTACAAACAGTTTCCTTATTACACATACCAAAATAAAACTCGTTTCAATTTCAATATAATCTTACTAACATGAATGCGAATTTAGATGGATGTTTGTTTGGTTTTGTATTCTAAAGCGCTTGACGACCTCGATAAAATTTGGCTTAGATGTAGAAAATAGTTAGAAGGAACACACAGGGTACTTGCTTACACGGAGACGGAGTCGCGGCCGAAAGCTAGTATAGCCTGTTAAACAAATAAAAAAAATTACCTGTAAGCAGACACTTATGAATATTGCGTGTTCTGTCCTTAACGTGATCCATTCGAGATTGTCTTTACTTATAAGATATTCAAATGAGAGTTCGAAATGCTTATTGGTGTCGTCTAATAGAGAACCATGGCCGTTAGTCTGTGGTTTCTCCATCTGTAAATAAAACATAGACATCGTTATCAAAAGACGTCTAGTGAATATAGAGAGCCTAAGAATAGACACAATCAGTTGTGACGTTAGACTATAACACTCTAAATTAATCATAAGTGTTGTATATGTGACTCTATACGTTTGAAATGTACACGACTTCGTTTAACAACTGCGACAATGTCAACAAAATCAACTTTGGTCTCTTGAAATATCTGAATACTAGTTTCCATGCGACTTCATCCGCATATAATTATAAACATTTCATCTTATTGTTCACATTTGTCAAATTATCAATTGCAAATGTCAAAATGACATGACATGATGTCAAAACATGGCAACTTTGCTTCCTTGATGTTGGCAACAACTTATGGTCTCTTTCCCACATTAGAGTTTTGCCCAAAACATTTCGCCTGCAGCGTGACGTAAGTGTAGGGGTTTTTATTAAAATAAGAGTTATTCGAAAATATGCTGTGATTGCTGACATCTTAGGTAACAAAGAAGTGTGTGTTTATGCTTTATTATAATAGTATAGATATAGATAGTATAGAAGTAAATTTACGAGTCTTCCTAGATTATATTGAATTTTGTTTATCAACTGTAGACTTGTAGTATTTTATTGACAAGAATAGAGTTCAAGGTCCGTAAAATAAAACGCACCGGAAAGAGATATCGAATCACATACAGTTAATCAGTTAAATGTCTTTAAGAGTCGTTGTTGATTTAAGAGGGTTCTTTTGTTTCGAAAGGATAATGGGTATTATTTAGCTCTGACTAACCGTGGGTACAGAAACATATAGCCATCCTTTTCCCTCCCTTTGAAAAAACTGAGATGACAATGTTTTGAACCCACTCCGTATTTATAGATATTAATGGTTATGTATAATTTTTAAAGCATCATATGATTAATCTCAATGAGAAATTTACTTTAACCTAAAGATTTTACTGTTTTATATTGCAATTTTTGACACTTGGCAAAAATCAAGGCAGATAAAAAGGTTAAGTGTAACGTAATAAATTATATAATGCCTCTTATTAAGTGCAATTAACGATTACAAAATGATACGTGGAATAAGGAAAAGTCAAAGTTTTAAGCATTACGTAAGGATACAGTTCTGCTAAAATATCAAATATATCTTTACGACAATGATTCCGATTATTTTATAGTGATGTGATTTTAAAGGTAAACGTTAAATCTCATTAAATTTATCTGAATACAAGAATACTCGTAATACTAATTCACTATATTTCCATCGGCATTCGCGAGCGTTCAGTAAAAACTGATTTTAGTTAAAAAGTAAATAAAAAAGACTTACGGTATGCAAAGTGGTTATCCTCCAGCATCTCATCCTGGTAACTTTGTAGCGTTGCTCCCGAGACGGTTGCGTCACGCTGGTTAGCGTCAGTTCTTTCGAGGCGAGGGAGACACGAACGCGGCACGGCCCGCCACCCGCTCCGCTAGACGCTCCGCCCGTCACGTTGTGCGCTTCCGTTACCGCCTCGCCCGCGGGCACTCTGCCGTAGTACCGGCAGCTACGGGCCACTTCTATGTACTACAATTATACAAACAACGTAAGTTTCTAGTATCTATGCAGGTCCATGTCAATATGACCTGAAAGTTAAACGGGAAAATGTCGGGTTTTATTGTTTGTGACGTAATAATGTTTTATAAATGATCGGCCGCCGAAAAAGCATGACTCAGTGTCTGTTTCGCCTGAACCGAATGTGCAAGCGAGAGCTCGGAACAAGCAATAGAGAGACACAATCTGCCTAAACGTTCGGCGTGTCCTTATGTCGTTAAATATTTGTCAGTGAACCGACATTACAGAAACCAATTTTTAAATTATTATTAATTGTTACGTATCGACAAATACCAATAGAACAATCCCTTAAACGGTTTCTCACTATCAGAAGATTTTTTTTAAACATGATATATGACTAGCAGAGTTATGTAAACTAGTTTCAATGGATTTATTGTGTGGTCACCATTATTACATCAAACAATAATATTAAAAGTTATTATTATCTGGTCTGACACCATGGAGGATCAAGTGATTTACAGATATGTATATATCATAGCTCAGGTGTGATCTCATCTGGATGCGTCATAAATATAGTATACCATGGGTAACATACACTTGTTTTATATATTCATCATCATCACCAGCTCACTATACGTCCCCACCGAAGGGCTCGGAGCCTACCCTAATAAGGGGTGACTAGGCCATAGTCAACCACGCTGGCCAAGTGCGAGTTGGTTGACGTCACACATATCTTTGAATTTTTTCGCCGATATGTGCAGGTTGCATCACGATGTTTTCCTTCACCGTAAGAACGTCGGGTAAATTATGTACATGTGAAAATTCGGCAAATCGAAAATCACATTGGTACATGGCGGATTCGAACCCAAGACCTGTAGATTACAAGTCAAGTGTTCAAACCACTGAGCAACCGACGCTCTATATATCTCTATATATCTGTTATATATTAACACATTACAAAAATGTTAAATCATGTTTATACGAGGTTTGAATCGCACATTAGTGTCGTCATGAAATAAAAAACAATTATTTCCAAAAAAATTGATTTAATTTAAGTTTTTTGTTTTATTTAAAGTAGACGGAAGCATTTGTGTGTAGGGTAAGTTATAAACAATCCTAGAGCAGTCGGTGAACCCGCATTGAGTCGTCCCGCGGAACAACCCTCGATTGCTCAAGCACCCATTCATTCCTTTTGCGCGGTAATTATGCGTAGTACGTCGCGACTCGACGTCGAGCAAGCGAGGAAGGTTTTTAACATTTCTACATTTTTGTTTACGATGACATTTCAAAACATTCCAGATTTTGCTCACGTCTCGTCCGCGCGAAATGAAAAAAATATGTACCCCTATGAAACGCAAAAAAGTACCAATACAGATTTTGTTCCCTGTCTGTTTTTGATATAAATAGAGAACCATTATAAGCACTAATTTAATTTCAACAAGGCTATTGGATCCCAATTGGTTGACCTGACCTTTATGTTCTATATCTTGCATATTATGTAACGATGTTGGTATTGCATGTCTACACTGTTATGAGTGTGTATTATTAATATTTGTTAAGTATGTAATATTGCCTATGAATATTAGTAATTGTAGTATGTTTATGAGTAATAATTATCCATCTATACTATTATAATAAAGTGTAAACACACACTTCTTTGTTGCCTAAGGTGTCAGCAATTACAGCATATTTTTGAAGAATTCTTTTTCTAATAAAAAACCCTACACTTACGTCACACTTTAGGCTATATATTTTCACGCCATTAAACTTAGAGGGTAAATATTTTGGTAAATATAATAATATATGTTGCTGCCAACATCAAGGAAGCAAGATTGCCTAGGTTTGTCATGTCATTTTGACGTTTGCTAACTATCAATATAGTTTGACAAACGTAAACAATAAAATAAAATTTTCATAATTTCATGCTGATGAAGCCGCACCGGAACAGCTAGTATAAAGATATAGAGAAAACAAAGATAAAGAAATATTAAGAAAACTCACCTCTTTCTTTTCTTTCCTTGATTCATGTGAATTTAAAACATCCCTTGTTTGTGAATTTACTACAATCCATCCTAAATCAATATCTTGTATTGTTTGTAAATATAACAGGTCTAATGACACTCTATCTGACATCACATCTGTGTCATAGCATGGATCCCAATAACTAAAAAAGTACAATTTAACTTATTACATGAAAAAATATTGTGGATTTTTCACATGCAAGTGGACTTACCAAATGAGAAGACAATTTGTTAAAAAAAATTAACTTAAAATGCACTTTACCTTTTCCTAAGCACAATTTTATCATCAGGTCTAACATACTTCTGAGATATGTATGGAGATTCATATTCCTCTAGCTTTTTCAAGCATGGCTGACCATCTTTAGCACAGCTCCAATTGAATAAGTATAAAGAGAAAAACTTTATAAAGTCTTTTGATAAATTAATGTAATTACAGGCTATATCTAAGACAGCACCGGAGGCATCCGTTGATGATACTGACAATGGTATTCTATAGCCATTCATTAAAAATATTTCTATATCAACTTCATGCACTCGGACACAGTGAGTTTCTTGTTGAGCCGAAAAAAGGAATGTTGTGAGTATATCAGAGTATGCCAAAATAGGATTTTGTCCCACTAAAATATATTAAACATATTAATAATAAGAATTTGCAAAATATAACATGTGAATACTAAAACATTTATTCAAATTTGTTTCAGTATTCAGCCAGTGCCAATTTTATTTTAATAAAAACAATTAAAACACTAGAATAAGATTTACCTAATTGTATGTATTTTTCTAATAGAACTCTTCTTTCTTCAATCTGAGAATTTGTAAGGAAGAGTTTTTTTGGAGGAAACTGTGGTAGCTTGAGGTAAGGATTTTGTGCCTGAAGCTGTTCATGTAGACTAAGCAGTTGTTTATATCGCGTAGCACAATGAAAAAACCCATCGATGTAAATATTATATCCCTGGTAATAAAAAATAACGATAACAATAAAATTCATTAACAAAGCAATTAAAATAATAAAGTTTTATCAACGTCTCCAGTGCAAGACCTTAAAAGAATATTATTATCAATATGATTAATAAGAGGGAGGATGTTATTTACCGTATAAGTGATTCCATTATCATCACGGAATTGTTGCACGTCTGGGATCGAAAAATGCATTTTCACGAACAATATTATATCTCGGCACTACACATTATAATCAATAGCTATAAAATCTGACTTTTTTTATAATGTTTCTTCCTAGACTCTGCTACCTAGGAAATCAAAAAATTGATTGTGATTTATTTACTCCCTCCGCTGATGTTTCGATACGAGATGTTCCAATGTTTCGCAAATTCTGACATTATTCCATTCCATTCAATTCAATCTCATTCAGTAACAAAACAAGCTAGTGATGTTGCCTTGCTAAGTTTTTGGTACGAAACAACCACCAATCATGTTCATGAATTTTTTGCATAAAATGGGAAAAAGTTAATTTGAGTAAATGTTTTAAAATTTCTCTTTTCTGATTTTCCCTTATTTTGGCACTGCTGTCAATGTTCTTTTTGGTAGGTAAAAAGTTAAAATCAAATGGCAACATTTTTCATGACTCATAGTCACGTGATAACGCGTCCTTACTCGGTTGGTTTTTTTAGATTCGCTTGGAGAGATCACGAAAATCAACGCTTGCAACTAATTGCAAGTGCTCAAATTGTGCTTAACTTGTTTATTGTGACTTAAAAGTAATTCACCATGTCATCAAAATCCAAAAAGACTGTTACATCCTCGTCTAATGTAAGTGTTGTGTCATCTATGCAGAGCCCACCTCAATCAAGCACTCCGGTTGGCAGCCGTTCTTCTAGCGCGGCCGGCCGCCCTAGCAGCCCTCTAAGTCCTACAAGACATACCCGATTGCAAGAAAAAGATGCCTTACAAAACCTCAATGATCGCCTTGCGGCATATATCGACAAAGTTCGTCAACTTGAAAGTGAAAATTCAGGGTTGCGTCGCGAGATACAAACTACACAGGAGGTCGTCACCCGCGAGGTATCCAATATCAAGGGAATGTATGAACATGAGCTTCAGGAAGCTCGGAGGATGTTGGATGAAACATGCCGTGAAAAAGCTAGAATGGACATAGACCTAAAAAGATTACGCGAAGAAAACAATGAGTTAGCAAAGAAGTAAGTATTTAATTGAATTTGGTTTAATGATAAATTAAGTTATATTTAGGAATTAAAATAATACATTAGTTGATGGTCGCGTGAAGGAATTTCTTCCGGTAAGCTAACCTTAGCATAAAGTTTACGTCATCGGCGGCGTTTAGCGCGCGGGAGCGGTGACGAGTGCGGGCGACCTCGCCTTTACGACAGTGACATCATATCCCAATTTAACATACCTAAATAACATTAATCGAATACCTATACTCTTCGTTTTAAAGTATTCAGTTTTGTAAACAACTTGACATTATTTACAATTTTCGTTTTCACATAACGAAGACTCGCGCGATTAAACATTGCCATATCACTTAGTTTGAAATTTTCAGATAAGAATGCAACACCTTGCAAAAACGCATGTAGAATAGTAGGATATCCTACAATAAGACATAATGTTATTATACTTTTCCTAATTATTACTAAAGATTATAATCTGTACACAAACAAATGGTTCATTTTACACATTCACAAACACCTAATTGAAGTTCTCTTTCATTAGAAAACAATCATAAAAATATTTTGTATATTTACTAATCATTCCTTGTAGATTATGATAACGGAAACATCTGGATTTTTAATGTGGGTAGTAGTAATATGTTTGTATAGCATTATCAAAAAATAAATGGATTTCTTTGTAAAGATCCTTGACAAAGTTGTATAGATGACTATAATTTCAAACAACACTAATAATGTGTTCATTTAACTTTTGTTAAAAAACCTTATATCTACAATAAGAGGATATCTTTGCGAAAATCTCTCATTGAAAATGCTGATAGTAAACTTGTACACATTGTAACGGTGTCAAGGTAATGCTGACCTAGCTCCATTGCACCAGTTTTACTTTTAGAGCTAAAGCTAATAAAATGATAAACAATGATTATTTCGCACACATGTAAAAATTGGATAGTTACTACACAAACAATAGTTACAAACATTGACTCTAAATAAAAATGTAAATAAACAATTTGACCTTGAATCAACATTATATCCTGTTTATTTTGCTATTTTAATTGAATATCTGTGTTTTTTATCACTATCTCAATAATGCGAGAAGCAATATTTAAAACATAAATAACATAGTGTTAATTTTAGGTGATCAAATGCTTTCTTGCAACCTTCTATAAAAAAAATACTATAGGTTAATGTCCTAAATTATTTTTTTTCTTAAATATTACCTTATACTTAATGGCTTAAGAGATAAGTAATATAATACTTTAATTAAAAAATCTTATTAGATAAACAATTTGAAATGCAATCCTTTTATTTTAAATCATAGAACGAGTGTAAATTATTTTTCGTAATACTTTGAATTGAATTTTGTTTATATGTGCACTTAGGTAATTGCAGTCTAAAAAACCTAATAAATGAAATGTCAGTTAAAACTAGTGTGTAAATTGCTGTAAACTAGCAACGTTTTAAAAGTAATGTAAGCAAGCTAGCAAAGCTCACTCGCCCTGAAATATATTAAATTATTTATAAGTTCCAAAGTATGAGAACGAAAATGACGTAATTTTCGTAAATAATCATGACGTGATCATCGCTATCGTAAGGTGACGCGACCTTAATATTAAATTTATATTTTAAGACAAAAAACAACTGTAAACCAACCTACAACCACTCTTAAATTTATCATTTAAAACAACGTAAAAATGTTTCTTTGCATGTGAAAAAAATACCGCAAAAAAAATTAATCACTTTCTTTTGACTTTGATAAATAGCTTTTCCAAGTCTTTGTTTTAACATCCTTTCCAATTTGTGCCTTTAACATATCTTATCATTATATTATCGAAACATAGAGATGAAATTGTAATCGTCGGCCACCCCGCGTCGCTTCCTCCCGCATTGTACTACGGGTCTAATTATATTTGTAAGTATTTCGGACATCTGTTCCTTTCAATTATATCGCATTTAAACAACAATGTTGTCTGAAATACTTTTTTGTTTTAGATAATATATAAGAACAGTATTTTCCAATCGTTATTTTTCACAATGAAATTCTATTCACTAAATGTAATATTTTATAACACAATTATCTCGCTTAATGGTTATTTTATTATCTATCGACATATTTATCTACGCGACAATAACTGTTATAAGTAAATTAGATAAAAAAAATTAAACGTTTATGAGCGACGAAACATCTTATCACGTTTTCATTTGTCCAGACGTGTTTACTTATAAATAATTTTTTCATCTAAAGTTTTATCTGAATATCGGCCAAGGTCTTATCTCTGCGGGATAGCTAATCGTTCGGCGGCAATATTGTCTCTAGGATTACCAGCTATTTTTACCTTTGATTTTACAACTACATCAGTTTTACAATAATATCAAAAATGTTTCTTTTACAATATTTTTTCTTCAATAAAATAAAAACTCAACTAAACATTACTATTCAATTGTCGCTCGTCTGTTGATAAATTGCTAACCTTCTGTCGGCGATATCGTTTGTGTAAATTCGTTTAGTCCACAAAGTCGGATTATTTTTAAATTTTCATACAAACCGTGTAGAGCAAACACTTGTTTGAATGTTTACAGACGATAATCACTTTATTTATTGATAACGTCAGTATTTTATAAAATCTTACAGCTTAAGTTGGATTAGAAGTAATCGTTTCACGTTTCAATAACAGCTTTGTGTCTACGCTATTGTCGGTGTCTGTTGCGAGGCTCCTCCACGTGTTTACACTAACATTCCGTTCCGCGTACTGTTACGTAATGGACGCCACATTAACATGAATAACAATCATAAACCATGATAAACTTGAAAAATTCAAATTCTTACTTTATCTTTTTATGAATAAGGTTGTTTTAACAATGATTATAAGATCACTGCTTTAAGTCAGTTTTACTAGTTTTGGTTTATTTATAAATATGATATCATTACAGATTGGAGAAGAAGACCAAGGATTGGCAGCAGGCGGACAATCTGGTGCGGCATTACGAAACTCGCTACACCGAAGAGAGCAACAAATACAATACCGCTTTGGCTGATAAGAAGAAAGCTCAAGATGAAGCGAGGGTATGTTTTTTAAGAATTAATAAACATTCTAGAATGTATATTCCCTATAATTAAACATTTGGAAGAAAATTAGGTACCTCTACAATATTTAGCTTGTGTCTCTCGAATCAAAGAATATTTACGAAATCATTTTGACATCTTCATTTTAGATATTCTAATCGCGTTTTAACCAACTGAAGGTTTTACCTTACACCTTTTCCTTGCCATATTTCCTTGTTTAGTTCTTAGAACATTTTTAGTTAATATGTGTCAACTGTTTTAGGAATTGGCTAAAGAGCTTGAGAAGTTGCGTAAGCTGTACAATGACACGCGTAAGACGCTGGAAGAGGAGATGCTGTGCCGCATCGACATGGAGAACACGGTGCAGAGTCTGCGCGAGGAACTCACCTTCAAGGACCAGGTCTTCCAGCAAGAGCTGCACGAGACACGCTCACGCAGACAGGTTGAAATCTCGGAAATTGGTGAGTTGATACTACTCATCTAAAGGTGAAGTAAGGAGGGAAGACAAAGGATGACTAAAAGGAATTGATTTGTGTTCTTAGTTGTTACAAAACACATATACATTTTACTATATTACATGTTAATTTGTTAATTACATACTAAAATTATAGAGAGGAAAACATGAATAAGGCTTCGCAACTTCTTTAATTCCACTCTGACGAAGTTTCCGTCGAAAGCTAATCTATAATTTAAGACAGCATGTAATGTAAGTGTTTGTATGGCAGACGGCCGGTTGGCGCAGCAGTATGAAGCCAAGCTGCAGCAGAGCCTGCAGGAGCTACGCGAGCAGCAGGAGGCCAACATCAAGGCCAACCGCGACGATATTGAAGCTCTCTATGAGAATAAGGTGACTATTAAACATTGTTACTGATATTCCAACAAATTACCTTACAAAATAAGAGATTGGCTTACTTTTCTATATCAAGTTAGCTTCTAAATAAGACTTCTAGGTATAATATTTAACAATAATTATCTACATCTATACTAATATTGTAAAGAGGAAAGATTTGTATTTTTGTATATATTTTGTATTCGATTCACGTAAAAACTACTGGGCCGATTTTTTTTTTACCAGAAATGTATTTTATCAGTGAGTAACATAGGCTATATTTTTTAATTTTCCGTGGTTGAAGTCGCGGGCAACAGCTAGTGATGAATAAATGTGATAATTTTTATACAGATTTTTTTAACGTTAATATGTCTGTAGTTGAAGAATCTGCAAGCAGCCGCCAACCGCAACAGCAGCGCCGCGACCGTGGCGGTGGAGGAGCTGCGCACTATGCGCACGCGCATCGACAGCCTCAACTCTAACCTCAATGAGCTCGAGAACAAGAACGCCGCTCTGAGCGTGAGTATCACTCATATTACTGCTAACTTATTGCCTATAATTATTACAAAGACATTTAAGAAATATGTAGACTAGACTTAGGGAACATTTTTACACTGGTAACTCCTTTGTACGGTAATATCTCACTGTCAAATTTCACACGCCGAGACGCCGAGTGTTTAAATTATTGTTTGTTGTCATTTTGACGTACGAATAAGAATGTACGGGAACAGCTCGTTACTAATAATAACTTTGTATTGTAGAACCGTTGCCGTGAGCTGGAGCGTCAGCTGGAGTCGGAGCGCGCGCGGCACGCGGAGGACCTGGCCTCGCTGGAGCAGGAGCTGGCGCGGCTGAGGGACGAGATGGCCACGCAGCTGCGCGAGTACGCCACCCTCATGGACATCAAGATCTCCCTGGACCACGAGATCGCCACCTACAGGGCGCTCATTGAAGGCGAGGAGGACAGGTTCGTGGAAAACTTTACTTTATAATGCATTTGGATTTTTTTTAATTTTCACTTGTACGAAAAAGGCCCGCTAGTAAACCGTACCTAACATTTTTAAAATACAATCGTGCCAATCCGTGGTACGGCATTTTCTGAAAATTTGCCACGGTTCTTGTAACGAGACAAAGTAAATAATGAAATTCTTAGGAAAACACAGTATTTATGATCAAAATCATTCTAAATGAAATTGAATGAAAAAATATTTATTGAACAACAAAAAGATTGTACATAAACATTTTGGCAATAACTTAAAATTAGACATAAAAGTAAATTAAAAATAGTTGTTATCTTAGTTTTTCGAGTTAATCTGGCGATGGCCACACTAGACAATGCCTGTATCGGAAATCATTCATTGATTATATTTTTAAGAAAATAATCGAACACTTGATAATTATTACTGCATAATCAAAGTAACAAGTAATCCATAAATCATTATTTTTGATAGTAAAATTTTTGATAGTAGTTGTAATGAAGTTTTATGTTTCCAGGTTGAACATAACTGGTCAGTCCCCGGGGCGGGAGTCGCGGGAGTCCCGCGCGTCGGTGAGCGGCAGCGGGCGCGCCACCCCCGGCCGGCGCGGCACGCCGCTGCGCGCGCGCAAGCGCACCCTGCTCGATGAGACCGAGGAGCGCAGCCTGCAGGACTTCAGCGTCACCTCCAGCGCCAAGGGAGACCTCGAGATCTGCGAGGCTTGTCCCAACGGCAGCTTCGTTAAGATACGCAACAAGGGCAAGAAGGTATGGTACAACCTTACTCTGAATGCTGGATTGATATGAAAGTTTTGTTGATATGTCCTTTTGAGATCAATGTCTATTTGCTAAAAGTACTTTTAATTCATGTTTTTTTCTTCTTCTATGCTGTAAAACTCCGTGTTCCGTTTTAGGATTCATCGAAACCGGCGCTTCGGTGTACATCGCACCACATGCCAAATGAATTAATTTTTTTTTTGAGTAAACGATTTTTTTTTCTTTAAAAAAAAATAATTCAGCAAATATATTTTTATAAGATATCTAATTTTTGTTTTCAACATTTTTACATAACCTTGCCATTAAAAATTGTATACTTTTGGTAACTTAAAAATTCTAAAATTTAAATGAATGATTGGATACTTATATTTTTTTTATCCACAAGGACATAGTCAAAAATATATGTTTATAAAGCAAATGTTTGTAGGAGCAAAGCCTGGGCGGGTACCAGGTGATCCGCAAGGCAGGCGAGCAGGAGACGGTGTTCAAGTTCCACCGCACGGTGAAGGCGGAGCCGGGCGGCGTGGTGACCGTGTGGTCGGCGGACGTGGGCGCTGAGCACGATCCGCCGCGGGACATCGTCATGAAGGGACAGAAGTGGTTCGTCGCTGACCACTTCACTACCACGCTGTACAACATCGATCAAGAGGTAATCCTTCTTTTTATTAACTACATTTTTGACTTTTTTTCGAATATCAGTCATACTTTCATAGTAATCTTATAAATGCGAAAGTTTAGATGGATGGATGTTTGTTAGCCTAAACGGCTCAATGGATTTCAATACAATTTGGTATAGATGTAGAGGATGGTCTTGAAGAATACACAAGCTACTCACTTTTGTTTTTATTTTATAAATAATTGTTTGTATTCCTTGATTTTACTAAAATGTTTATGCAAATTTACATTTTCTACTTCTATACTAACTAAAAATATGTTAAATATTTTATATGTTAATATCCTAAACGATATCGGCTGTATAGTTCAGTCAAGATCTTCCATTACTATTTTGTGATATTTAAATTATTTGATAGAAGGTAATAAACTTTAACAGTAATTATAATATTTGTAATGTGTTAGGAGGTGGCGGTGTCTGAGCGCCAGCGGCGGCAGGTGAGCACCAGCTCGCAGCGACACCGCGAACTCTCGCACAAGTTCCCGCGCCGTGAACAGGTCAATATTTACTTTTAACCATTACATTCTTTTCAATACAAATAGAAATTAGCAAATAAGTATAAATTTAATCTTTACTTTACTCTCTACAGATCGGAGAAATACGTGAAGGGGATGAGAATTGCCGCATAATGTAACGTTGATCGTGTCAGTTGTCCTCACTACCAGTGCCTTGGACTTCAATAACGCGCATTCACAAATAATTTAATAACATTAATTATGATATATCAATTTTCCCCATAGAGTATCCTTGCCTACTTGTATCTTGTAAAAGTCTGCAATATATGAGAGAATCAAAAGTACATTTTAAATCATGAATACCAAATGGTACTCAGTCCTTACATTAAAGGTCAAAGTTTCCAGGCCCTCTATGCAATGTTCATTCAAATTCAGTAATCATTAATAAATAAAATTAAGAGATCGCTGATAAGATAATCATTTTTCACTGCCTCAAAGTTCAATATTTATCTTCGTGTTTATTAGTGAACAAAGTACAAAATCGTTAGTTCACTAGTGTTGGTAAGTATTTTCTAATATATTGTTAAAATAAGATTTCCCCACCCCGTAGCTTTGCACTGATATCTAAATAATGCAATCCATTTAATAATTTAGGTAGATGAAATCTACTAAAGATGATTCATAGTAAACTTAGATATTACTTTGACTAGAAAATCACTTTATTTAGGTTAAGAGTTTTTTTTGACATCATTGTGGTTGTCGTTAACATAAGGTAACATTTGTCATACATTTTAACAATATTATTTAGTAATTACTTGAACAGGTGCAAGTCTCAAAACCTGCATATTATAGACAGGGGTAGCGAACCACTGCACACGTACATGTCGACGATCATTAAAAAAGTATGAAGTAGCTATTATGTGAAAAGCTAACGTGAAGTCTACCATGCCAAAAAGAATTGACGTAATAATCATAGTCAAAATTGATGGCACGTCTATTGTCGCAATAAACATTTCTTTTAAAACAAACCAAATTGCCATAATTTGATGTATTAAGGTTCGCTACCCCTGTTAAGTTGTATTTTGAAACGGCATTTATTTTAGGAAATGGGTTGTCGTATATTTTGTAATACTACTTATAACACTAAAATATCATTAGATTAAATTTTAAGATATAAGATATTTCACATGGCCATTTTATTGTCAAGAGAGGATTGAATCTATTTCTTTGTCAAAAATACGATTTTGTGGTAAATGAGTTAATCATGAACCCTTTTTGTTTTTTATTATTATTATTTTAGACTCAGATTTTGTATTCCATGTGTAAATTACATATTAAATAAAGATTTATTTAGACTTAGAATTGTTTTGTTTTATTGATTGCCCCCTTTATTATTTTAAGTTTAATATCAAAAAAATTACAATGGTAGAGCCTGCTTTAACATCGCACGAATGGGTCAGCTCGCCCGGTGCAATACCACCTCCACACGGAAGACAGGCGTGAAGTGGAAGCAATTCCGCATTTCGTCTGATAAGAAGTGTGGTGCCAAAGGCCCAACTTTTGTCCCTTTTCCTTTCCACTTGAATGGATTATGCAGGTCAACAGTTTTTTAGGAAACAAAGAACATTTTTGGATGTATTTATATTATAAGGCGGCAAATGTGCAAGCCTTAAACTTTGATACAAGTTATTTTAATTATGTTAAAAACTATCACATGTGAAAATATAACCCACAATCAGTATAATACTCGCTACGGCAAGCTTCCACGACAAAAATTCTTTCCATTTTAACTAAAATTCTTCAAAAATATCACGAAATCAAAAAAGACTCCGTCACTAACGCCCGAGTCGGGATGTCATGTGGTATTGTAAGTTCAGGGGTCCGGATTTCAAACAAATAGAAGAAAACCTTTACGCCAATTGCAAAATTTTTGTGTTAATAAGGTTTTACCCGTAGCAACAAATAATATGGCTTTAAAATGTCACTAATAAATTATTATTAATATCTAGAAACATTTTGAAAGTAAATATTTTTACTACATTACATTACATCAATTGCCTATTTTTCTACAAACAACGAAAGGATTGATATCTGGCAACTCTGAATAACTGTTAGAAAGGGAAATCATATCAGACACATGTAGCCCCCTCACTCCTTTCAATTTCATTTTGAGTGCAACAAGACTCTTACGCCCTAAGCACATGGGTTTATTTGAACTGCAAGAGGTACAGATAGAACACACTCCTGTTGTATTATTACCTCAATGATTAGAACACATTCCTGTAGTACTTATTACCTCAATGGTGTAAACTGAACAAAATGTTTTTATAGACCAATTTGTGCGTTAATCTTTTATGTTTAAATATCTGATTTATTCAGTCTTTTTCATTCTCACTTGGCTTATTAGAAATTTCTATGTTGGCAATTTTACTAAATGTCAACATGACACTGACATATGTTCATTTGACATTTGTGAAGTGTTTATTCCGTAAATCAGTAATTCCTTTTTTTTAAATAAATTTTAGTTATATTTCGTAACATTAGAATTGTAAGTAAAATTGTAACACTTTTGATTTTATGGATAGAAAGAACAAGGTTAGTATGACGCTTAATATATACCATCGGCCGGCATCACCCGGCATTCAGGACAATCCAAAGACTTTATTGAATACCCAGAAATTAGCGGGGTAATATCAAAGAAGCCTTGAGTCTTAGGCAGCGCATATGTTAAGGTACCATTAATTCAAAAAGGTGTTTTCTCAGGTCATTGTGTTCTCTATTGAGCCTACTTGTGCACAGATCAGAAACTGCATTCTGACAATGTATTAAGTAGTAGCTATTGCTTCAAATTCGTCTACGTGGAATTATAAAATTTAAGTAAATTCCTATGTTAGTCATTAATAATGTAGATTTTAATTGTAAAAGAATTTGTAAATCTTTCTTGGAGTTTTTGAGTTATTTCAATATATACAAAAATACAAATCTCCTCTTTATAATGTTAGCATACATTGGCTATACTTGCCTTTTGTAATTTTTTATTATGAACAAGTTATTAAGTAAAGATTTTAAATCTTGAGGTACATAATCCTTAGCTTATTTGTGAATATCCAATTAAAATACAAACTGGCAACTTCTTAAAATCCTATGTAATACCTTAGTTCCATGGCACACATTAACAAATCCTTCAATGAAAATTCAAAATGTTCATGGTTGTAACTTAACACTAAATTGATAACATTCAACTTTCAAATTAAAAAAATTAATACAATAAACTTTTACTCGTTATATTATCAACTTCAATTTTGTGTCTAAAACCAACTGTTAAAACATGTTTTACACTAAGTTTATTGTTTTTACAACAATAATCGGACCTGTAATCCAAAGAGGTAAGCATAGATTCAAACTTCCATTTGGTGTAGACCTTAACTCTCTCTACATACATGTATGCATATATACAACTTGTATTGTATAATACAAGTAAATTTCAGGTGCTCCTGATGTTTACTCTGGTTAAATCCATATTTGAAATAGTATTAGATGTATCTGAAAGATGTATCTCTTTGTGTTGCCATATAAAATTCTACAGCTGTATGGAAAATTATGTACAATGGACTAACACAGATTCCTTTATTGAAAATATGACCATTTGACCCAACCTACCTCCGTCCAAAAAGTTGCTTTGTTTGGGCGCTAGTGGACTAAAATTTGCAAAAGTCCTTAAATAAATTTTATTCATATTAAAACCATGGTTTTTTTTGTGAAACTACACCTATTTGTAAAATAAATCTTTGTCATCTAATCATCAGGGGGCTAGAAAACTCAAACGTCAAAACTATTTTTAATAATATTTTTGTAACCATCTGTACTGTTACAGTCAAGTATTTTTCTCAGATAGATAGTATAATTTAAAAGATTTTTGGTCTTTGTTTAAATTTTAATTTGGCAAACGGTTTTGACACAAAACATTATTTTCTAAGTTAACTTCAACCTTTACTGCTGGAATATGAGCTAACTTCGTTTTTTTATATATTTTTTTATCGTCGAAATACCAAAAAAAAAAACATTTCAATAAAGTACAATTATCAATAATCCCACGATTTTATATTTTTAACGAAATTGCTGTAGGCATTACAAGAAAATAATTCCGTAGGTATTCCGCAATATGGCGATGGTTCCTATTTTTATATAGATTATCTGTGTTGTGGTTATGCAACACTATGCAAAACATTTGTTTTTTCCAAACAAAAATGTATAGAGCTAAAAGGTTTTCAGCGTTAAACTTTTGTGTAAGCCTTACTGCGCATCACAATAAAACCTCCGAGGAGAAAATAGGACAGAGCAAAGAATGTTTGTGTTTTAGCGGCATTTGGTGGTCGGGGCTGGGGCGGGCGGATCCATCGCAATTTTCGCGCCTTGACCCAGGTGGGCGTAGCGACGCAATAGGTCACGGGGGTGAGGGGCGATACTGCGGGGGGTGTTTGGACGGGAGTAGTAGCGTAGTGACGTCAGCGACGCGCACTATCGACCTCGGCAGCCGTCACAACACCCCGCCGCCCCCGTACGCCCCTCGCCGCAAGGCGCACCGCGCATCTACGCATCGCGCCGCCCGGAAACACGCTACCACTAATGCGATAGGAAATATCGGCTTCGATTTGATGACATCTGTGATGTATCGCACTATTATACTGTTTGTATTTGTATTACCACAACTTTTGGACGTACAATATTGATTTTCCACGCGTTACGAAAATCGTCGGACAAATTACTTTGGCTTATAGTTTAAATGACTACATGGACGAAATAGATTTAAATCCTTAAACGAACTACACAGATTATGAATGTAAATATACAGTAATTACACAAATGAGTAGAATTCCTAATAAATATAGCTCAAAATCAGTCGAAGGTGTTAATTATCTTTAATGCCTATTTGAAATAACACCGCATCTTATTACTACATTTGATAGAGGATAAAATAACAAATTAATTACTTTAATTATGGCTTGATAGATTATGTTTAATTACAAGAAACAACAGCACTAATTTAGTGTTGCCTTATGTGTGTAAAAAATTCAACGCGTTAATTAAAAGAAAATTATTTGAATTGGAAGTATCTCTTTACGTTCTCACTCTTGCTGCTTTTAAGTCTAGAACCACTGTTTTTCTTGTTTATAAGAAATTGTGAATTACGTTGAATGTTGTACACGCAGAATGAGTATATTTAGTAACAAACAAAGGTTTATGCTTACACAATATTGACCAGAGTAGAACAGCGGCGCGCCCATGGCTCGCTTTTGCGTCGCACCGCTTGCTATTAATTTCCTTACGCACACAAGTGCGTTGTTTGAACGAGATTGTCGTTCCTCCGCACTCCGCACTGGCTGTGTTATTGTTCGCGACTTGCGAGCCGAGCCGCGCCGCAATCCGTGCCACTGCTAACTGCGTAGTTCCTAACACAATCCGTACACCCTTTTCTATCACATAAACTGCCTATATTTTGGATTTATATGTAGGGCAGCTTATAAGACTCATGTAACGACACATATGTAAAATTGATCACTAAGTAATAAGTGCGTGTTAATATTTTTTTTTTCTAGGAAGTAGAATTAAGTTTCTTTTTCTTCCAGGTAATGAATTTATTACTGCATTGACAAGAATCACATTAAAATATGACAGACATTTTTGAACCGAATGCAGCTTTGAAACGTTTCAAAAAGATCCCCGTTTACGTTGTCGAAGAGCACAATGAGGCGTTACAATTTATTTACTCTGCGATTGGTGGGAAAAAGCTGCCGGTGGAGGGAAATACGCTGGTGCACCTAGACGCACACCCTGACATGCTGATAGACCGCATGCTGAACGGGCAGGAAGCGCGCGCGGGCAAGAGCGTGCTGCCTCTGCTGCAAATCGAGAACTGGATAGTGCCGGCGGCGGCTGCTGGTCATATCGGCCGCGTCCTGTGGTTGCGTCCACCCTGGGCCCGGCAGTTCACAGACGGCACACGCCGCATACACGTAGGCGACCATCCTGCGACAGGATTACTTCGAGTCGATAGCAAAGAACCGTACTATTTATCAGACGCGCTTTACTCCTCTGATCTTCTAAATAGTCGAGAATTCGCGTTCACAGTCGCAGAATTATCTAATGTAAATTCCGAACACTATATTAATGAGTTTGCCAAGAACTTAGATATAAGTGAGCCTTACGTGCTGGATATAGATTTAGATTTCTTTAGCACGGGTAATCCATTCCTAAGTTTATATGAAGACATCGGACTTTACGATCGCTTGGAGCCGATATTCAGTTTCGAGCTGCCGGCGGACGACGATGAGCAGACAGTGGAGAAAGTTGTCGCGTTACGGGAGCGACAATTGCAGGAACTAGAACACTTATTCCAGTTTTTGGAAGAAAATAACACGCTTGAAAACTACGAAGGGGAGAAAACGGATTTGTTCCGAAGGGTTAGTTGAAAACATTGATTCATGTACAAAGTTTATTCGAGTGTCTTTCCACCTTGAACCATTCCCATCGAAATATCGTAGAAACTAAAAAAAATCGAATACGATGTTTTATTTTAAACTGATATATGTACAATTTATAAGTAAAATATTTTTTCCTTCCAGGTGTCGAACCTAGCCGAGGTGGTGAGGGCGGAGGCGGAGCGGCTGAGCGATAGCCCCGACTGGTGGGCCGTGTTCGCGGCGGGCTGCACGAGGGACAACGGTGGCTTGCCTTACCACATCAGCTCGCAACAAGAGATCGAACACTACGTTCGTGGGACTTTGAAATTACTGCTAAGTCGTCTACCTCCGCCCGTACTCGTCACTGTTGCACGATCCACTGACGATGGTTATTGTCCACCAGATCAAGTAAGTTTTAAAATATCTTGCAAAAAAGAAAAATACAATTATTAGCCAGTTAGGTTTTTGGATATATGCAAAATGGAATTTCCATGATAACATGTTTTTTTATTTCAAATAATTAACATTGCTTATAATGGTTTACAGGTGGACTTCATTCAGTCGCTGGTTTTACAAACGTTACAAGAGACCTATAACACTGACGATCCGCATTTATACTATTTAAATGTTAATATACCCGATACAGAGGAATAAAAAAATATGAAAACGAAAATATATTCTTTTATTTTTCCTTAAAGATTACAAAGCAGCACAGATTATTGTAACAGACAGAAAGTATCTACTATTAATCTGATGGGGCGGCCGCGGCGTCGTGGAGTCGCAACGCCGCTCACCGCAGTGCCAAATGCACTGCCATAACTCTCTTGTAATGCACTAACTGTGTTCTTGTGTTACACGTTTGCAAAATATACCAGTCCAAATAACCCAACGGATCATTTTAATACATATTGCGACGTTGCTTTAGCCGACTGTCCTGTTACATGTAGTTAAATTAGAATTTGTAATAATTTGAATTTCGCGGTTTAAATAGTACAAGGGATTTTGTGGTAATTTCGTTCTAATGGATACTTTCAAAACCATCAATGGTCCAGAGTTTTGAGATTTTGTATTTAGAGCCGCTCTGAATTATTAATTCTCTGTTCTTGCATTAAATTAAACTATATCATATAACCAGGTTACAATATTTAACATGCTTATGCGAAGTGCCGTAATACGGGTTGCATAAAGGTAGCATCGCTCGCACCCATATACTATAGCTCGACTGTACACGACAGAGTGACCTGTAAGCAGTGAACTGGTTGGTGAGTATTATTTATATTAATTAAAACGCTAGATGCATTACGTTCCTGGGGACTTGTCATAAGCTCTCGAACTCGTTTGAGTAAGTAGAGCCAGATATTTTTTTATTAAAAAAATCGGTCCACTAGCGGCGGAGTTATGCCGTAACACACATAAAAAAAATACAAGCAACTTGAGTACCTCCTTCTTTTAGGAAGTCGGTCAAAAAAGGCCGAATGAGCGCCTGGAATATCAAGATGATCAACGCCTAATTTTAACAAAATTTAAATTTAATCAAGTTATGTGACTATCTGCAAACTAAGTACGCAAAGAAATGTTATCGTTACTTTCATTATTTTATTTCAAATGGGCGACATGATATTTACGCAAAACACTTTAGTGTAAATATTTCTTTGAACAACGTGCTCATTCCAAACAAAAGCAATTCATAGTCACAAGTCTTCTCGTTGCCTTTGTGTTAGTTTTAACAAAAATATTTGCTTTCGCATTCCTTTCACTTTAAAGTACCAATACCTATACCTGGTATTTCCCCAGCACTATTTGCTGTACCTGGCCACGAACGGTTCGGTTCAGCCGCCACTTTCCTCAAGGATAAATTGTTTAAACGTTTTATTCTCACAACATTGACAGGTTTAAATCTCTTCTACCTATTAGTATTGATCGCTATTTTCAAAGAAAACAAAAACATGTAGGAAATAATTACCATTTGTCGTAATTTTAGATTGCAAAAACAAATCGGAAATCAGATGATTATGAGTAACGTATGAAAAATGTTTTGTTTATTTCATATACTAGGTACTTATTTAGCGATTTTAATGTTATGCTAAACCTTTAGATTGCTTAGCTGACAAAGTTACACACGATTTGCTGATAGAAGCGGCGTCAGTGTCGGTGGTGTCTATAAACAAAGTCAACGCACCGCGGCACGTGCCTCGCGTGCATGCCAACGCTAGTAAAACTATCATAGGTGTATAAACAACCTCAATAAAACTGTTGTTATTGTGTAACCGACTAGAGCTGCCGACGGGTATTTCAAATTTTAACGGACTCCTGGTAACATTTTAAATCAAAGAGCTGTCATTTTTGATATCGAGAATGCTTTTGGAAATTGATAAACAACTCACACCTAGTCAATTGTAGTCAAATCACAATATGTGACAAAAAATAGGATTTACGCAAGCAATATTCATGATCATTTAGAGCACGTTTGTAAAGTACACAGTTTGTAATGATTTAAACACACATTTTAATAAAGATTTTCCAAAACAAAAGCACATAAAAGTTAAAGTTTGTAAGAACTTCGTTATTTTCAAGAGTCTCGTGCAAGCGATTTGACAATTTAAAACTTTTATTCCGTAACTGTACCAATTGTTTTCTGGCATGTTTCCACACGACATTTTTTAAGCGACTTCCCAAAAGATCAGGCAGAGTTAGTACTTTAACGTTACTATAAGTATCATTGCGTATGTAAATTGTTATGTTTAAAATATCATCATCATCATCATCACCAGCTCACTATACGTCCCCACCGAGGGGCTTGGAGCCTACCCTATTAAGGGGGGTGACTAGGCCATAGTCATCCACGCTGGCCAATTGCGGGTTGGTTGACTTCACACATATCTTTGAATTTCTTCGCCGATATGTGCAGGTTGCATCACGATGTTTTCCTTCACCGTAAGAGCGTCGGGTAAATTATGTATATATGAAAATTCAAAAAATCGAAAATCACATTGGTACACGGTGGAATTCGAACCCAAAGCCTGTAGATTACAAGTCAAGTGTTCAAACCACTGAGCCACCGAGTCTATGTTTAAAATATAGTAAGCCTCAATGTGCCTACCTTCGCTGTCACTGACTTGAAAGAAACATTAATTGAAATTGTAATTTTGTTTTCGGTGTATTTTTGTTGCGTTACAATTTAAAGAGGATCTTTTAATTAGATGTTCACATTGCAATTTCTAATCTAACACAAAATCTGATTTATTTTTGACTTATTTTTAATTAACGTTTCCTTTAATGTTTATTCATAGTTCAAGAATCTTCACCATTACATATGACTTACTAAAGTATATTACGTAGCTAATCAATAGAATAACTAGTTAAAAGCGACTGAGCGAAGCATAAAGCACTCACAAGATCCCTCAAGTTATAAATACGTAACATTATTCCAGACAATAAACTGCCACGGTCCAGCTGTTATGATCAACGGCATAGGTATTCCAACACCTAATTAACTCAATGATTTGCACAATGCGGGGGCACGCTGAGGCGACTTATAAACATAGTATACCATCAGTCTTCGGGCCCCTTGTGTCACGTAGGTAGGCTCAAATCGGGTCAATTAGCAATAAAACCATGATACCAATTCATGGTTTTATTGCTAATTGGCTGTTAAACATTTTTTTACCATATATTTATAGCTTAAATACAAGGTTACACAACAAATATATTACAGAAAGCTCGAGAAAAAGCACACTTTAGTACATTGCAGCCATCCTGTGTCCTGAACTCCAAGTTATTTTTTCAACAAAATAAAAAAAAACATTGGAAATTTTCTTAAAATAAAATTTCTTTCCCTAACTTTGAGAGGCTGCATTATTTTTGTAATACCAACTTTTTTCCTACTTCATGCATAATTATAAAACTGTGTAATTTGGTTTATGGTTAGATAATGACAGCTTGTAACATTTAGGATCAAACATTAACCTTAACAAATAGTGTACAGATTTCCAGATTAAATATGTTAAAATGTTACAATTTGTTGCAAAAAGTATACATTGTATAGTTTGCAATAAGCATAACAAAGTCTATGGGTCTGAACAAACAATTTAGTCCTTCGATTGGGGGCGATTGGGGTCAAATGCGCATCGAAGTGGCGACACTCGTGTCGTGGGCCAGCGCTAACGAGTAACAAGGAATTACATCACGCGCCAGCGCGATGCTAAACTTAAGCACCAATTAAATTCAATAAAAAGTGCTAATGGCGCACTATTGAAATTATGTACCCACTTGAATGCTCATGGAAGGCGTACAGTGTAATGTTCTTGTTATTACATACATAGTTGTTTCGTTTTCTACATTGCTTGGATTGTGTTAACTTTGTCGTCGAACGTGCCCTTGGGTTTATATTTTACAAATATTCCTGTAAATTTATATTTTGTGATCAATCTCATTCTATCTGAAAACATTGACAATGTGTTGATTTATCGACGTTTTGGCAGTGTTTTCCCATGGTGCAATATCTCAACATCAAATAAATGTACTTACTTTATTGTCCTCCATTAGGTTAAACATTTTATATGTCGGGGAAGTACTGCGTTTTTAACACTGCATGGAGGATGTACTTATTTTTCATATATCACTTGGTGTTATTTTACCATGTTTATCTCGTTGTATAGGCTCAAATATAGTAGGCAGGTCAATAATACAGCATTGACGCTATTGTCAAACTATTTATGAAGCTAGTTAATGCAAAATACCGAGTCCCAAATAACATGCAGCCTTGACCGCCATTGGTCCGTCCAATTCTGTGCATTCAATTAAATGCTTAATTGGGCGCATCATCATTTAAAGTTCCTATTGAATGAGACATAGAATTCTTTAGACTAATTCATTTAGAATATCGCAATTTTCAATTCTTTAAGTATTTATGTGATGATATGATGCTGACCATATGTTTCTGTTCTTAGCAATCTTAGTTTTATTGTCAGTAAAATAAAATTGTGACAAAAACAGACCATTTCTTTTGTATACTGGACTTAACCGTTGTTACGAAAAATGCTTCATAAAATGTATAAAAATTTAATTCTCCGAGTATCATTATTAAAAATTAAGTGATTTCTTGTTATTACTTTAACCTATACTTCGCCCTTCTTAAGCTCCATAACCATAAAACATTTTATTACACCATTAGATAACGTAACGACTTTAGACCGTACACGAGTGCATTTTTCCTTTGAATTTTATTACTCAAGTATTTTTAATATTTAAATGTATTTTAAAATACAAAACATTGTCCAGTTTTCTATATGTGGAAAAAAATTAAAAAGTTATAAATCACTAGCTTTTGCGCGTCACTCCGTCCGCGTGGAATTAAAGAATAAACAAAAGTAAGTGTTCATCCAGACTATGCTCTACATCTATGCCAAATTTCATCGAGATTCGATCAGCCGTTTAGGCTACAAACTCTAACAAACATCCTTCCAGCCATATAAACTTTTGCATTTATAATATTTATAAAGTAAGATTAGTAATAATGAATAATAAAGGCTTCAACGCGACGTCGGCAATAACCTGTAGTTGTATGTAATGATGCATTGATTATTTTTTTAGCGCATAACTCTGTAAAATACATTTATTACACCGTACCGGTTTAACTTCTTTCAAATATGTACTACATTTACTTAAAAAAACAAATTCATTTCTTTTTAAAATTACGTTAATTACGCCAAGTCAATTGGAAACTTTCAAATCTACATACAAAAACAACATTAATGAGAGCATTAACGCGAATACATTTCTCATTTGAATTCTATTACCACGATTTATAAACGAGCGGTGGGTATATATAATTATAGACGCGATACAAATATTAATTAAGCCGGAAAGCTTACCCGCGATGCGTGCATACCAAGCATCATCTACGCTAACGTATTCGCATTTACGTAAAATATGTTCAGGTGAATAACACTTCATGACTAACTTGTACGGTTTTAACACTAGGTTGTCATTAATTCACTTAAGGGCGGTTTCCACAGCTACAGTTAACCATTCGTTAGTATTTTTGGTTCAATAACATCATGAAATGCGTTTCTGAACTACGTAATTTGAGTTTTACTCCCCTGAAACTTGGTCAACTTGATAGAAAAGAATCACATAAGTCGAAAGTTCTGCAACCCATCAATTCCATTGTACAGTTCAATCAACCGACAATTAAAATTTTCTTCCACACGCAAAGTATCAATTGATTAGTTTGCCTGAACATGTCAGGCTGTATGTAATGCGTTTTAGGAACTCTAATGAAAGCACAATAGTACACAATACGCGTAATAGTGGGGGGAGCAATACGATATAGAAGGCAGTCTTATTACAGTTTTATTTTTTTAGTAGTTAATTAAAAAAAGTAAGTAGTTAACTATTACGTGAAAATTAGAATCAAATAAGAGCGGATAAATTACAAAGGTCATTTTCAAATTTTTTATGGTCGATTTTTTTTGACCGACTTCTCAAAAGTAGTAGGTAATGAATCCGTCTGTATGTTTTTTAAGTCTATGAATGAATATGTTTCATACACGGTTCCATATAACTAAAGTATAGTAGGTTTAATTGTAAAATCTTATCGGAATCGTTGAGTGTATCGTTTCCTGTTTGTTTCCTAGCTAGCGCGGGATGTGGCTGTAGTCATAGGAGGAGCGGCCGCGCGCGACCGACACTCGCCACTCCAATTACGAGCGCCCGAAATTATCATAATTTAATTAATTATAAACTCTGTTCACTCATTAAGCTTACCTAAATTAATGTTAACTTTTTTACATGTTTTTAAATTGTTTTATTGTCGGACGTTTGGAAGGTGGTTTATTTTTAATGTTTATATGATAAGATATGAAGACGCGAGTGCAGTTGACGATAGGTGATGCTATTTCAGTTTTAAATTAAAAATGATTATTTTATAGATGTAAAAAGCTTACAAATATATTTATGTGTATAAATAAAACAGGTTTTACAGGGAATAATTCTGACTCATATTACTGCTTATCGGTGTAGTATTTTTCCATATCTGAGAAATAATTTAGGTATGTTATAGTAAAATGAGGAAAAAGTCACACGGGAAAAGGAGTAACGTTGTCTTTTGGGAACATTTATAAATGCAATCTTACTAATCTCACTAATATTATAAATGCGAAAGTTTAGATGTATAGATGGATGGATGGATGGATGTTTGTTAGAGTTTGTAGCCTAAACGGATCTGGATGAAACTGGGTATAGATTTAGAGGATAGTCTGGAACAACACATAGGCTACTCACATTCGTTTTTTTTTAATTCTACGCAAACGGAGTCGCCGGCGAAAGCTAGTTAATGATATTTGTACAAACTATAAGTGTTTATAGCGCTAGTATCGATAGTCGTCGCAAACCTGGCGCTGCGTATGTGTACGATAAGGGAAAAAACTTGGTTTCATTGATAAATAGTGGTTGCGTAAACGCTGTTTTTCAATGGCGTTGCTGATAACGCCGAGGTATGTACTGGCAGATAAAGCTGCTCAGATATGAAACTTTCGACTTTAATTCAGTGACTTAAAGGTTTTGTTTTTACGATATATTAACCAGGTAATCAAGTAGGCGCCTCAGAAGTTACTAGCTACACCAATAAATACCAACGCCACTTTTTTAAGAAAAAAAAAAGAACAGAAAAGGAATTATTGCAGGAATAAATTTGAAATGAAAGGAAATTAACGTTAAACTAAATAATCATTTTTACTTATAAAAGTCTTAGAAACAGTGCCAATTTGTTAGGGAATAATTATTAATTATTCAACTTCTGATTCTGTTCAAAATACTTCTAAGTTATTTGCAAGTTTTTTAACTTTTGATAACTACAATTTAATTAATATTCCAGATATTTAATTACAAATCTGTAAGTAATAACTAAATATATAGTAAAAATTCTTAAATGTTTTTAAATTTTTGTCATGCCAATTCACGAGTTCACCGGTTAATCATTAGGTTATCATCGAATAATAAAGTAGTTTATAAAAATAGGCAATTTACCTCATATTGCGACATACGCGCATAACAAAATTTTGAAAGAGCAATGTTTTAAAAGCATACATGATAAACGGTTGATAAACATTTTCATGCGACGTAAACAATGGTCGTAAGAAGTAGGTACAGTACTCGGAACTGATAATTGTAGACGAAACATGTTTTGTAGCTTGTGTAAATGATTCCAGTCTCCTAGTACAAGTGAAAATAACGCCTAAAAGTCCTGGAAGTAGGTATTACAGAAGCGTTTTTTGTAATCGCTTCGGATTAAACCTCAATAAGTACTATGTTACCCCAGCCACTGGCATTGATAAGAAAATTACTTCAAATCCGTGCATTAATCACTATTTTTCTGGTAATTCCTATTCTTTATAGTTTATACAGCATTCGAAATTAAAAAAAATAATGACTCTAGTATTCAGCCACTAAACGTATGTGTAAAATACTTGGCTTATTTAGTTAATAAGATCAAAGCTCGTAGCATGAAATTACTAACACGTGCTGTCTGTGACAATAAACTTTATATAAAGAAAACAATTATAAAGCGACATGTTACTTTTATTAGAAAATTCGATCACGATTAATACACGTGGTACTAAAAACATAAAAATGTCAATAGGAAAAAATCCTCTTGCCTTACAATGTTTTATAGTGCAACATTTAATGACATGAGCCTTTACATATTCCTTACCTACTTTTTTAAAAGCCAGGTATACTAAAGTAGCTGTTGTTTACTACTTCGCCCGCGTGAAATTAAAATATAGCCTATGTTACTCACAAATTACTGACCTTTCCAACGGTGAAAGAATTTTTAAAATCGGCCTAGAAGTTTTTGAGTTATTTTAATGCATACAAAAATACACAAATACAAATCTTTCCTCTTTATGATATTAGTACAGATGACAGCTATGTAGTTCAGTTGAAAACTTCTGTTTTCTAGCGTGTACTGATCCTGTAAACGGCGAAACAAGGCAGAAGTGAGTAAGGTCTTTTAACAGAGCCAATGCTTTTGAGAAAAGACGAACAAAAATTTGAGAATACAGTTACGTTTGTATCAGTTATTTTGTGATATGATTATTTATCGCATGGGTAATTTGAAGTAAAGTAAAAAATTAATAACTTGAAGAAGTAGCGTCCCGGATGATCAGAAGCGAAGCCAAGGATTCGAGCAGTGGCGTCCCCTCGCGGCAGTACCGATCAAAAAAATAAGCACGCGAGAACGGGCGAGCCGCATTCCACGACTGGGTCGACGGCACGGCCCCGCGCGCACCGCTTCCCTCGCCCTCCAGTCGTTTGCGCGCGTCGTTCGCGATAACTAGTCTACATGTTGTCCGCTCCGAGCCGCGCGCTGTGTTTACAATACAGTGTTGTTTGTTATTGTTAAAATATAACAACGAGTGATCTGTGCCAGTGACGGATTTAAAAGTCGTGTCAAACATTTCATTACGATATTGTCAGTGAATATTATAAACGATTGTGATACGCGAGGAACGAGCAACCACGGCGAGCGCCGAGCTCAGGTAGCGTTTCATATTAGTTTTCGATCTGATTACGGCTAGGTTAATCTGGTTCAGTGCGTAGTACGGTAGCGTAGGTTTGCATCTGTGCCGTAGTGTGCAGGTGTGACTGCGGAGATCCCACGTGACTGCTTGCATCAATCGGCCACCACGTGGTGCGGTGGTGTAAACAACGGGTTGGCCCTTTTCCACACGGCGGTAACGCGCCGTCGAAGGAGCCGCGCGAGGCGCTGCCTCGCCGTGCCCGTACTAGCTCTGGTGTAAACACGACGCCGCCGCCTCTGTACGAACTAATATTTATATTTGATAACATAGTGCTTGACGAAACAATAGATAAAACTTTTTTCTGTGGAATTGTTTTGATGACTGAATCGATTAATAGATACACAACATATTTTATGTAAATCTATTACCTATGAAACCAGTTGGTAAAAATACGGAACTTAAGTAATAAACAAGTAGGAGCACTTGTTTTACAACATACACAAATATATTTTTTACTTGTCTATATTATATAAATGAATGTCTCGGATTATAAAAAATCATGCTATTAACCTACTGTACCCAAATGTAAATATTGTTTTTTTATTTAAAGCTAGAACGAGATTTTATAATAAAAAAAACTCGTATAAAAATATGATGAGTGCGCAACAATTTTGAGACATAAACATACTGATATTATAAATGCAAAAGTTTATATGGATAGATGAGTAGGTGTTTGTTAGAGTTTGTAACCTAAATGGCTAAACGATATCGACGAAATTTGGATAGATGTAGAGGATAGCCTGGTAGAACACAGAAGTTACTTTTGATCCCGGAAATAGTTACGGTTCCCGTAAGATACTTCATTTTTTTTCCATAATTCTACAACGGTTCGACATATCTTATTCTGGACTAACATGAGGGATACGGTTCATCCCCGAAAAATGTCAGGTTCTCGAGATACGTTGCTTTTTGTTTTCATAGTTCGTATGTTTCTTTTAATTAATTAATACTACTAGAGTCAGCGGCAACAGCTAGTTCTGTTAGAGGTAACAAATATTAACTTGTAAAAATGGTATATTAGCAACTAAGGGATCTTAACGAAAATCTTAAATTATTAAATTTGGAATGTTTGAGTCAATAACCTTAAAGTTAAAATTGTTATAATTGTATCGGTTGCTATTGAAAATAGTACATTATAACTATTCTTGAATGTACAATGTACTCACTCGTGTCACGTGCTGGCACTAGTTCTGTTTGTTACCACGTAGTCTATTAATATTGCAAGGTAATTGTACTCCTAAACATTTGTATGTTTATTTATCCAGCACATAAAACACAGTTAATCTTAAAATAAAATCTGATTTATAACCGTTGTTCACAATAATTCAAAATGCTATAGACTAGATCCCATACGTCATGATCTTTTTTGGCGTTTATGTCACAGAGTATGTAATCGATACAACTTTGAAACTGTTGTCATTGTCAGTGTTGCATTTTTTTATCTGCATAAAAAATAAAACTACGTTAAACGACGCACTGACGCACGTCATTCGGATGGCAAATGTCAAACTTTGTTTACAAATTGTTTGGACGTTATTTGATTATTAAACTAATTTGTAGCATCCAACAAGAAATAACAATCACAATTTAAGCTACTTCCATTATTATTAATAATAAAAAAGTGTTGTCATAGATTGTACTCTATAAGTAAGGTACGTATTTATATTTCTTAAGTTAAAAAATAAATCAGGGTCGTATTTCCACTGTTGGGCAGACATTACCTCGATTCATAATCTCACTTATATTGCATTTATATTTGAAGTAAGTGTTTCAATGCGACAGTTTCCTTTACATGTTGTAAATGAATATTTGATGTGTTTGAGTGCTATATCTGTCATTCAGGACAGGTTTGTCTCAGACTAAAAGTAGTCTCAGGATATACCGCTCCAAGTCGCGTATTTGCGTTATTTGCTTAATATATACAAATAAAACAAATGGAAGTAAGTCAAGTGCCAACATATACATGTGTACACAAGTTTAAGTCAACATATACATAATTGATATGCTTCAAGGTCTATGTAAAATCGAAATCCGTGTTCTCTGCCGTGCGTGAGTTACTGTGACGCGTGTATAATACACTAGCTTTCGCCCGCGACTCTGTCCTCGTGAAATGTAAAAAAAGCAAAAATAAGTAACCTAGGTGTTCTTCCATAGTGTTCGACACCCATGCTAAATGTCAACAAGATCCGTTAAGCAGTTTATGCTACAAACTCTAATATCCATCTGTTAACGTTCATATTAATAATATTAGTAAGATATAAGATAGATTTGAGACACAATACTTTACATCTCATTTTTTTTAATTGACTGAAGACATCTCGGAAGTAGATTTTGGTGTAATGATATAAATACGTGACTTCTTATTATCAAAACAATAAATATGTCACTTTTGGCAAAGTTTTGCCTTAATCCTAACCTCAACTATGTCGGCGTTTTTTTGCAAATATTTAACCATTGAAATTCTATTTAACCCAGAGGGAATCCTCTGCCTCATTGTACATGAGTGAATTCGTAAAAAAATAACAAAATAATCAGGTTTTAATTTATTAAAGTATGGAAATATATTTTACATGTATTACGAAAACTTGATTTTTTATGGGATAGTTGATTTATCTTAATGTTAAAAACATAAAGATACTGGCGATTTGTAAATTGATAATTCATCAGGAGTTAGTGGTGTCACGCGGTTAGCTCGTGCGCGGTTACTTTTGCTCGGAGACTGGCGAATATTTATTACAAAATAAAAGATAATGTGTCGATAATGATGTCACTTGTTAGGGTAGATTGAAACAATTCCACGTGGAACTAACATGAATGACTTAAATACAAGTTATTGACCTCACGGATCGTTGTGTTGCTACAGTTATATACATTTAGAAATTCTGTGTCGAGATTCCATATTGTAAAATATTTTTTATTCGTTATTACAATATGTAGGAATTTACCCTAATACGGAACTCCCATGACCTTATATATCGGCAAACTTTAACGTGGAAGTATAAATATTTATTTTGCACTAGCTTTCGCCCGCGACTCCATCCGCTTGAAATTAAAATATTATAATTATAACAAAAAAAGTAAGTATGCAATGTGTTCTTCCAGACTATTCTCTACATCTGTACCAAATATTGAGATCCATTGAGCCGTTTAGGCTACAAACTCTTACAAACATTCATCCATTCATCTATCTAAACTTTCACATTTATAATATTACGTAAGATTATTGTACGACGAAGAATTATTTTTGTGCCTGTCTAAAGCTTTTTAAATAGTCGTAAATTATTAGTTTCATTGCCAAAAATCTTCGTGTATAGGTACTATCTGGGAAGCTAGTCGTGTTCCGACTCAAAAGTTACAGAAACGACGACATGGAACACTAGCCAATAGGACGCAGCTTGTATATGTCTACGAAAAAACGCCGGTCAGTGGCACGCGCCTAATCCGTTTACCCAATTTGCTACCTAATTGATTATATGTAAAAACAAACGAAGTTTGTCTGGTTGCCAAGAACAAGGCATATTTTTCTGAAGTAGACACAGCGTATTTCCGCGACTGTACTAAACGATTCTTACTAAATAATATAAATATGTTATTATCAATCAATCATCCTATGTAATTTCATTAGAAATTGGAAGTATTGTCACATATGTCTTAGTAACGAGCCTGCATGAAAATAGACAAAAATATATGTAAACGTAATGTAATTTTTTTTATATAATAACAAAAACCTATTGAGCGGTCGGTATGACGTTAATCAGTTATTGTTCACCCCGAACCAGAAACAAACGTCTCTATTATTGGATTGTTAGGTCTCAACGAACGCGATAACAAAATGTTTTTGTATATAAATAGAAGCATACATCTTTGAGTATTATCATATTGTATGAAAAAAATGAATTTAATTTTGTTATTACTATTGGATAGCGCAGACTCTATGCATCTATTTTATAAGAATATTTGTTTGAAAATGTACTACAAAAACTACGAGTGAGATAGTATCACTGAGTACTTATCATGAATATTCGTGAGAACATTTATGTAAAGTCATCGACAAAATTTGTATGGATTTGCGCAGCGATCCACACCGGACGATGACTACACTGAAATCTTATACTTTTTTCCTTAAAGTTACGAACACTTTTTTGGTTCTGTCAAGTAAATATTCGGGTTAGACCCTCTGATACGATACGCAAACGTTCCATTAACTCTACATGTGACAAATACTCGCATGCATTAACATTAGTCTTGTCCGACAACTTGATTTACTGCTCTTCTGACCTTATTTTCAGACGTTATAAGGTTTACATATAATTTATGATTATCACGATGTTTACAGACGATGTACATTTTTTTTTTTTTTATAATATAAGGTGGCAAACGAACAAGCGGCCACCTAAATCCACCGAAATGGAAAGCGACCGCTGCCCATAAACATCCGCAATTGCAGATGCGTTGCCTATCCTTCATTGACGGAAGAGGAGAGGCACATAAAGAGGAAATTTTCCCTTTCTATACGTCTCCTCCACCGTCAAATCCACTTTTCCTTCCCATCCTTTCCTCTCAAGAAAAGGGTGGAAAGGGAAAGGGATTAAATTAGGCCTCCGGCACCACACTCATCATTCATGAAGATGTGTAACTTCCACCAACTTCTATTAAAAACTTTACGCGCCATTCGCATTTTGCGTTTATATTCCAGATACGTTTCACTCCATCAAATTCGGCATGTTATTGCGGCTTCAACTCACGTTTCAGATTTTTATTCTAGACTAAAAGGTTTAGTTTTATCATACAGTGAGTCACAGCTGGTCGTAGGCCTTCCCCGATGACTTGCGTCGAAAAATACAGATATTAAATCACACTTTTTGACATATTTTCCTTATATTTGTTTTTCCTTGTATGTATTCCTTGCATCTCGTATTATAATGAGTGTGATGCATATATTTGCGGCGTATTTGTTTATCGTATCATGGGCACATTGCCATTACAGAAATTTAAAAAGTTAGCTAAATAATCAGGTTGTAAAGTAATGTGATCACTCTTATAATTTGAAGATCATATAAATGTATGGTGGTCAATAAACATGGGCATTAATTAGAGCTATAATAAGATAGAATAGTAGACGGGACGGGAAGTGGCAGTAGAGGTGGGCTGCAACGTGTAGTACGGCACGGCGTGGCGTGGCGTGGCGCTTGACAGTGGTGGGGGCGAGGACATTGGGGGTGGGGGTGCAATGTTTTGAGGCCCACGGCCCGGCGCGCCGCCGCACTGGCCGGTGCGCGATCGATCGTGCTGCGTTGCGCGCTTCTCTATTATTTATTACCGAAAATATGGCGGCGTGGTGCGCGGTCGTCAACCTCCAGCGCCACGCTATGGCTCGTAAACAACGCTAGCGCGAAACGCGATACCTTGCTTTGCTAATCGTCACCCTCTGCGACTGCAACTGCGCTAGTCCGACGCCTATGCAATGCAGTCAGCGCAGACAACCTATTTGCATTTTTACTTTGTAGGTTAAAGTTTTTGTAACAACATGAATTACTTTTTAGCCAAACTGTTTGTTATTTTTAGATAAGTCTACTACTATAAATAGCAAATTTAAAATTATAGTTACTAGTTTTTTTTAAGTCATAATAAATGAGTTTCTCACTTTTGACTTGGTCCTTTTTAAATCGTTTATAAAAAAAAATTAAGACTATAATATACTAAACTTTGATCGTAAACTATAAAAAAGATAGTTAGTAAAATGTTGTATTCTAAACATTTCCACTAAATGTTAATCCAAAAGGAATTATAAGTCACGTGTGATGTAACAGTTTTAGGTTTAAACTTTTATTCACTAACTCGAACCATAATCAGCAAAAATCATTCAAAATTGTACTATAGAAGTCGCATATCGTCTGGTGGGCGCCGTGTGACGTCACAGTGACGTAGCCCTAGTACTCAGAACACGTATAATTGTATGAGAATGAAACGTACGCAGTACTGTGTACCAGTTGATTATTATACGTAGATATCATGTTGGTATGTGTTTACACCTTACACGTGTCGACGTAGCCACTCCGGCGCACAATATTAATATATAGTAAAATGTTAAAGTTCATATGAAAAGTGTTAACATCTATATTTTTGATATAAGTGTAGATCAAATTGTACAGATGCCTCTTATCCATTGAAATCGCTTTCGCTATCTTAGTTATATCCAACTTATGAAAGGACCATTTCACATTTACCTATATATTTCATTTTATTTTCATAATCCATTTTCTGTACTTCCAGGTGTTACGAATCTGTTTTTTTTTTTCTGAAAATGTAATCTTTTTGACTTCCGGTAGCGTAAAAGATTAAAATGAATTCCGAAGATCCTTTTGATTATCAATTTAAATCGATCATTGAGAAAATCTTTTGTAAAACAAACGATAATTTGCTGAGTTATTCATTATAAGCGGTAAAGTGTCGGCGCGAATGACATCACAATGCGAATAATTAAAAGAAACTTTGGTCGGCCCGGCTAATTTGAAATTTCCTTTTTAATTGTTTTAAATGTTTTAGGGATTTTATTATTACAAGTGTAATATCTTGACGCCGTTATAATGGGAGTAAGTTGATATATTCTCAAGGTGTCATTAACTTTGATTAGATAAGCGTCGCCGTGTTTGATAAATAAAGATGTCCTTAATTTTACAATACAACCCATTATGTTTTATTTTGTTTGTAATGAATCATTTCTATATAAGTGATGGACATATTTGTGTAAAGCTTATCTCTGATTTGTCGGACTGAATGTGTTTCATTTATGTATAGCGATACTTTAAAAACCATTATAACAATAATATACTACGTGAACATTAACGTAATCGGCGATGGCTCTTTTGATACGCATTGTGTTTGTAACCTTACAATTGACGACCCAGAAACTAAACAGAACCATTGAAATATAAATTTCCTATTTTTGTGCACAAAAGATAACATGCAAATGAATATATGAGTCCTAGTGAAGCTATATATCTTATCCCGTATCGTAATATCTTTTCCCGTCCCGTTCGGGTAAAAAGTCGTGAGTGTTTATTTCATCATAATTTCGTCTTACATCGATCCTATCTGAAGAAATAGAGGCGACGAACCAAAAGGACGTATCTAGCCGGTAACGTGTTTCTTTGCCGATATTTATGTACGGCGGGTGTCGTGGGAATCGCGGAGGCTCCCACGCTAATTGCCTCCGCTACATGGAGCCACGGCCTTTGCCCACTGACTACAGCGATCAATGAAAATTATTCATTCATCGATGTAACCGCCATTGTTGTAAGCTATTATAATCTGTGTCTCCATTCAATTATTATTGCAATACTACGTTGTATTGAGTAAACAGTGTTTTTTCCTGTATGAGCGTGCATCCGTCGCGTCGTGTCGGTTAGCTGGATAATAAATATTTATAAAACGGAACAAGCGTGATTTCATGTCATTTGCGTCTCTGTATCCGTTCATTGTTCTTGGTCACTATTGTATTTTATATTCTTTTAATATTTATTCTGTACACTCGATGGCGCTATAGTATCCTAACGGTTCATGCCTGTTTAACTTATCACGGATCCGATTTCTAGGCGATCTCACTAAGTAAAGGCCAATAAGGTCCCTCTACTTTTCCCGATATTTACGACGGGACTTTATAAAATAAGTCACGGTTTTCTATTGGGTACCTTCTCAAATCAGAAGTAAATTTATATGTAATCGAGGTTTGTCGAATTTAAAGTTGTCTGCCTCTCGATTAGGCATTTTCATTTATAAATCGTCTAAATCAATATGTTGAGCTACGGACATTTTATTTAGCTAAATTATCGTGCGTATAATATAGACTTCATTGCGGTAAGAAGACTTTGTAATGGGAATGTACGAGAGACCCATCTCAAAGTATTTAATGGTCTTCATATATTTAAGTAAAAAATCACAGACGATGTGTATATTTTACGGAATTAAACCATCCAAGGTAAACGGTCCGATGTTAGCTTACTTTCATATCCCTTTGTAAATTTTAACTAAGGCGAGATAGGAACATGTCATTTTCATTACTTCCCCAAATAGAAGTGGAAAGTCATAATGTATATGCAAATACTATACCAATATTGCTCCTTATTTGCGATCCATTATTCCAAGTTGCTTTAATTTTGTATGTAACATTGTAAATCATAAATTTTCGAATCGGATTGTATTATTTTGCCTAATGATATGTCTGATGAGAATGTTTATCAAAGGTTTTTATATTTACACAGCTTTATTTTAATGAGTCCGGAAAACATAACGTAGTCATTGTTCTTCTTCGTGTCATTGTTGTCACCTTGGTGGCAGCCTCGCGGAACGGTCTCCGGTTTCGGTTCTACTTAGAAATTGTACTTGACATTGATCTAGATTCCGTAGAATCGTTTTATTTAAAAAGATTGCTTAAATGTTTTGTGGAATAAATTGAAAAGGTATGATAAAAATAGTCTTCACCGTAATCAACTTTATTGTTGTATTTTGTATTAGAAATGGTTTGAATGGAAATGTAATCGTCTTAGGTATTATTGTGAATGTATACTGATGTGTTGTTTCAGACCGGGTGATGGTTGGGGCTTGCGGGTGAGCGCGCGGCGCGGCATGCGGCGCGGGCGCGGGTGCGAGGCCGGATGGCACGCGTGGCCGGCGGCGGCGTGCGCGCTGCTGCTGGCCTGCGCACGCGCACACGCCCTCGAACATCTTGCACCAGGAGGTTTGTTACTATAACTATAACGACACATTATTCAAGTGGTGTAGACAGTACTGTTAGCTTCCTCCAGGAACTCTTACATGAATTTCTCTGGGATTTGTCATGTGTACACGTAGGTAGGTAGCATTGTTTAACTCGGTCAATTGAACGTGATCCTAAAATGGTAACCTCGTAACTGGCATAAAACAAATTGATATTATTGGATCCTTTGCAAACGTGACGTCAATTAATTGCGAGGTTTGTACAGCGAGCGGATAAACATTGGACAATTGATAACGGGCGCCGCGTTGTATCAATTAATCTTTTCAACGGAGAATAATTGAGCGATGTGGAAGGAGCGAGCGGCGCTACGTGCCATACAGAGCTGCCATTTGTGTCCCGAGGTTGGGGCATCTGCCGCATCTGTCGGCACCTCGTACGTTTCTGTCACCTTTCAGCCCACTCGTCTCCCTGTCCCGCCCCCGCCCTCGCCCTCGCGCCCCGCGTTTCTCCTCCCAACACCCCGGAGCACTCAAGTACTATTTTAAGCACGGCCGCCTAACGTTGACGCTTTAACTCCTCGTTAATTACTCAACGTGCACTGTTTATAGTGTCATAATAATCGCATTATATTTAAAAACTCGCCATGTTTAAGCTGCCAGTGGTATTTTGATATATCACCTTTTTGAAAGTGTTTTGAGAGGTTACATAAATATTTGTTGAACCCGTTGCCTTCGAGTTTATCTGTACTAAAAGAAATGTATAAATATTTATTATAACTAAATTAAACAATAAAACTTCTCTATAAGTAGGTACTATTACTATTATGACTTTCAAATTTGAAACCACGAGACAGTTGAAGAAAAAAAAATGCAAACTGAATTGAAAAAAAAAAGCAGCTTCTGATAAAAAGTCTCCCTCTGTTGACACATCTGCACTTTGCCTTGTCTATGTTCTGCGTTGTTGCTTATTCAAAATAGCGATAGGTAAATGTATTGTTTTTGAGTTCTTTGAATTTGTTTTCCTCTTTTCTATTTACCAAACCGAGTAGATATGATTCGTTATTTTTTTGGCAACTAAACTCATTGGTATTCAATGACCTATATTTTCAAGTAGTCTTCGATCTTTGCAATTCAATGTTGCAAAACAAACATTCAAAATTTGTCTGACCTTGGCGGGCTGAAGATATTTCCGCCTCAATAAAATTAAATTAAATTCGTTAAGGTTGTCTGCATATTGCCTAATTATATTCCAGGTTTTTTCTTTACGGAAGTGTTTCTCTTTCTGTACATCCTGTTTGTCTAAAATCAGTAACATTCGAACGATTTGTGTATGCTTTTAAATACAAAAGCTATCAGGTTCGAAAATGCTCATTTAGATTACTCTAAGACTTCTTCTAAACTTTGCTATCGATTCTGATCTACTTTTTGACACCTGGTTGTAATAGCTTGGAAATAGAACGAAATCATTTGGTATTATAAATATTTAATACGAATGGTAATAAGATTCATTGAAATAATGTTACTCGATACATCTTCTAGGAAATCTAAACAAAATTCAAATCAATGTATTTTGTGACAATGAAACTCTACACCATATTACTGGCTTCCTTTTATTTTATGTGTACTTTCTCTTTACTAATATTTCTTTAATCGTATCCCAAGACTTTTTTTGTGTAATTTTCCCTGATGACGGTGGTGTCCGCTTGCCGCACAATGGTGTTGGAAAAGCGCATAAACACGGATGGTGTCGGCCGGCGCGCCGGATGTTGTCGAAAACTTCCGCGGCCGTTAACCCCGCCCGCCGCGCCGCCTGCCGCCCGCCGCTCGCCGTCCGCCGTGAGGCGCTCGTGGGTCGCGAATTTATTTTTTATTTATTTGTACTTTATTTGTGCGTGCATTCGTTCGCTGTATCGTAATCCGACAGATAGCGCGGTGTTTGTTTGCAGCGGAGCGTCGGCGCGGCGGCGACGGCGACGGCTGTGAGGCCTCGTTTAGGAGGCGCCCCGCGTTATCTCGCGAACACTGCCGAAATTCATTCGACCGTGTAATAAGTGCCGCCGATAGCGAACAGCGCCGATGTAAACAACTCGGCGCGCGCTACACACTACTACGTATTTGTTGCGCGTCTAGCACATATTTCACAATATTAATCTCGACAAAACATTTCCCTAACGCTGTTCATATTTATATCGTTACATCAGATATGTGAGCGATAATCCGTTTCGGTATTTTCTCTAGTAAATCGTTGAAGAACTGATAACGTTTATCGCATTTGTTCCCCCGACAACGATAATTTGATGCGGAAATGTGCTCTGTGAGGATGATACTAACATTTAGCTAGAAAAACAATAACAATGTTATTTGACTTATTATTTTTGCTATTGCGAAAGATACCTACGGATGATTACATTGTACATAAATATGTTGAAATCAAATGAAAGTATTTATGCACACCAAAAAAAATTGTAACAACCAAATCTACTGTAGATATTAATTTCAAATTCCCAATTGCATTTTATTTAAGGAGTAGTAGCCGACCGGAAATAAACTGACGAAGTCAGATTGAACATAAAAAAAAATACTCGTAGGGAAAGTAATTATTTCATCGTTAATATCTGTAGGTACTATAAATAAGCGCTTTATTTGACCATCCGTGAACAAGGCCGATAAATGTTTGTTCGGTTATTTTTAAACATGTTTTCCTAGAATCAAATCAAACACATAAAAAACGTAGATTCGATGTAAAAAAAATATTTTTTGTGACTCTAGGTATCTTACACTATCTAAGACCATCCTTTATTTTGTTTTGTTTGGACAAAATCTAGTTTCTGAACGAAGATTGTAATTAATATTCACGGTTATTGAAATAGTTCGCGAAATTATTTTTTATCTCTGACCCATTGGATGTAGCTTGGGACTCGGCAGAAAGTAAGCCAAGCATGTAACCGATGACAGCCCAAACCGGAACCTCTCTATTCTGTTATAACACAGAATATTTCATTGCTAAATAGAATAAGATAGGATACAAGGATACAGCGACAGTATATAATATTTTTACCCCAAGAAATTAAATAAAACTGCAAAAGATCACAATCTATGCCTAATAACTTGATATTGAAAAACTTTATTATATTAATCTTGTTTAATAACTGTATTTTGTTCTCAAAACACTACAAAATTGTCGTCACATATTCTTTACCATTTAACGTGATCGGGAGGGTTCTAGTTTGACCTACTTTCACAACATTCTAAACGAGAACATTGACTATTTATGAACGGACTTTGGTCCCACACAATGTAACTTCATCACCACTCGCAATTCGTCTAGAAATCACCAAGTCCAGTTAACAAAACTACAACGGCTACGTGAAACAGTTCTTTCTACGTTGTAAGAACTGATCGTTGGTAAACATGACATGACAAAATGCGTCATATTTCAATATGTGTGGCAGAGCGCGACTCGCACGACCGCTCGTATATGAATTACTACGCATGTTAATGATTCCGTCGTTCACTATTTATATTTCTGTGTTAGCCGACGGCACACTTTGCTCGTATTAATATTTCGTTTTGTTTTGCTTTTTTTTAGAACAAGGTAACATAATGAATAGTTAATGAAATTATTTACAATAGTTTTATAGTTTGAAACTTATTTTTTAAGTATTGCAATTATCTACAGAGTAAGATTTGCGATTTTGAAAATAAATTTTCGTGTAACTGCAATCTAATGAGTACATTTTTGTAGTTTAAAAATAAGTAATCGTGTTTGTTAAATTGCTATTGTACACGCTCAGAAAAGTGTTTTGAAATCAGCACAAAGTTGATTGATACTTGATACAAAACAAACGATGTAGCGATTGTTGATGTTACGCTAAGTTTGAAACCGGAAAATGTTAATATTTATAAAGTGCTTTTATTTTGAGAGATGACACACCTATGTGTTTCTCTGTTTCTTAAAACTGAACAAGGCCGATACAGCTCTGCTCGGCAGCCGGCGGCCGGCGTACGCATTGCCAAGGAATCAAAACATCTCTTTGCTACGATTACAAACTTTATTTTGATAACAACCATGCAGCTGCTATTTATCGTGCGATATAACTAACAATTATTCCTAGCTACAGACTAACACGAATGTAATAGAAATTATAACCATCTTAATGAAATCATTGGTCTGTTGACATTTTTAATTGCTTCTAGGAACCTGTTTTTACATATACAAAAACCAGTTGGTTGTTTTGTTAAAATTGAGATAAAATTGTGAAGATAAAAAATATCAATTATTATTTTGTCAATGTTTCGAATAACAACAAAGTCATATGATTTTATAGTCTTTCTGATTAAGTAATTGTAGGATTAAGTACATTTGATAAGTAAAGCAGTTTGTAGTTGAAACACTAGAATTTGTAATTCAAAATTTTTCCATAAATCTTGAGGGCAGTGAAAGTTAAAGAGCGAATTCGTAATGATAAAGTCCAAGGAAACAAACAGGCTAAGTAACATCTATTTGTAAAATGTCATCATTTGTAATTTACCGAGTTTTCTACAAGTGAAAGTAGGATTTAAGTAAACAAAAAAAAATGAAAGTTATGGTAGAGATTTATTTCAATAAAAAAAATCGAAAGTCAAATTGAATTATGGTAGAGAAATAAGAGCACATTGATTAGAAGGATACTATATCAGAGTTTGGTTACCATATTGATTATACCTATCATATAAAACATTGTCAACTCGGGGCGGAGTTGGACTCGCCTACATTAACGATGGTCCAAATAAGCTGCTCTAAAACCTTGACCCAGAAAAACATGTATTCGTTGTCTATACTTCTTATGTTAAAAAGTATTGTATTATATCTTAACAAAAAGGAATATCAAGAACTTGTGATTGTGACCTTATCATATGAAGGTTAAGATAAAATGTCTTAGCAATTATAAATTGGTTATAAAATTTCCGTTTTATATACATTGCAGAATAAGAAGTTACAGTTAATATATAATTTTTTATAAGTTAATAGATTCGACTACA